AATGTTTGACAGACTAAAACACATCTGACCTTTTTCATTGTGGCCAGTCGTTTTGTTTACTGATATTTTACAGATTTAGGAGGTTATTTGACAGATTTATATTTGAATACATGCACAACAGAACAAAGGTGGGTGCAAATGTGGATTTTCTTAATATAATATCAGCGAGAATTGTTTTTAAAAAAACGAATATTTTCTTTTATGGGAATGAAAGAGGACTCAGGTTACATAACATTATACACGAGCGATGGTCGAAAAATTTTGTAGACTAAAATATGGAATTCAGTAGTGCTAAAGTATTGGTTAGAAGCTGAATATGTTGCTTAAGTATTAGTACTGTATTTTACAAGTAGGTGAACTTTATGACAAAAGTGAGAGAAAAGTAAAACGGTTGCTTATTAATAAGGCCCTTGCACATTTAAGGCTTATCATTTCACAGTAAATTCAAGACATGTAATTGGCATGTACTTCCTGTAAGGAATAAAGAAAAAGCTGAAAGGAATCTGGCAGTTGGAAAAACGTTTAATTTACTAGGAAAGCAACTCTTGCTTAGTTGCCAACATTCAAGTACACTGCTTTATTCCCAGCCTAATTTTTCTATTCATATGTTTGGAGCACTAATATTAAAGTGCACCATTCACATCTAATAAGTAAATTGCGAACCGCAAGTTCAGCTTGTTCGAAGTGGATTAGAATATACTGGTAGCAAATGATCTTTTCGCCCCGCATTTTCAAATATATGCGAAAAATAATCTGCTCATAAGTTAATATCACAATGTTTTCTTGCATTAAAATTTAATAAAGTTGAAATTAATGGTTCCATAACCGTTTTTCCGCATTTTTGACCACGAGTAATATCAAACGGCCACAATGATTGGAAGGACATAAACAAACAATTTCTAATCGCAAAATTCTGACCTCATCCCTATTGTCTCCTTGAATTCTTTAAATCCTTACTTTTATACCAATACAGTCAATTTTAAACCCTGTATACCCCCTATGCTTCTGGTTTTGGGATATCAGTATGAAAGCAAATGTGTATAAAAGCGCCAGATGTATTGGCAAACTTCTTTTGCTTAAATTGTAATTCAGTTATTATCCCATCGAATTTTATTTCATACACTAACAAGTATAATTTATAACAGTGCGAAAATTCAGATAATCGATAACAAATCTGCGCTATTTTCAAGAAAAGCAACAAACCGTATTCAAAGACTGGAGCAAAATCAGAATTTCAAACTAATATAAGTACAGAAGTATCGAATCAAATCAATTCAAGCATGCCAACATTTAAAAGTAGTGAAGATGAAAAGTAGCTATGCAAGTAACTATTTTTCATTCCTCATGTGCTAAAAGACGTGATTTATTAGAAAGAAGACAATACGAAGAATGAATAAAAATTAAACTAAACTATATCTGCACTGAGTACTCTAACGTTATGAAAAAAACAGAAAACTAACCATAATTATGACTAATTCAAGAGAAAATTTTGAAGCAAAGTGGTTATTATTCCTTCAGACTGCGGGATTCAGGGGGTTGCTGGGAATCAGATCTTTACAATTTTGGCGAAAACTTTTATAACATAAAAACTGAATATTTAAGAAAATTTCATCTGAACAGATTAGAAAAAAAAAGGCCTTCGCATCTCTTCTTCAAAATCTGAGACTCCATACTACTTGCCTGTATAATAAAGAAGACATTATTTCCGCAATAATAATTTTTCGTTGCGAAACAAAGTGAAGCACAACCAAGTAAAAAACCAAATTTTTAAGATATCGAAACATCGGACTTAACCAATAATCAGTATATAAAGCTAACCTACTACGACTCCGACTGAGAAATATTTGGTATGCTTCGGAAAGAAGGTAATGAACGTCGGGACAAACCACTAGAATTTTCAATAATGAATTTTTACGCTTTGTATCACAATCAATAATGACTGATATTCGACTCCATTATTCAAGCAATTTGTTCTTATTCACAATGATTTACTGGTTAATAACTATAACAGAAATCACAAACCTGGTTTTTGATCCTTTATTTAAAAAGTACTTGCTACACATCCCAGTATCCATCGACGTCTTTTCTGAATTTTTATCCATTGAAAAAATCGATACAGCATTGGATTGCTCATTTACACAGTCATTTTTGGTGACGCATTTTTTTTTCACGGGTACTTCCACTAAATTAATTGATTTTGATATTAAATAATAATGATACAAAACATAGATTGGAGCAATGCGATTTTCAAAACATATAAAATTAATTGCCATTAATTTTCTGAACAACAGTGAGAAAAGACAAAACGAAATAATGGTTCGTATTATTGCTTCGACACAATTCCAGGAAAAATAAGGGTTTTGTACCTGTATTAGAAAATTCTTTTAGTAAACGATCACAATTCCAATTTTGAAGAGCACCGTTCCCCCTTTTAGTAGTGCCGATTACGGGGAAGCAAGTTTGTCGTCTTTCAAAGTTCGCAAAAATATTGTTTCTCTTGGAATTTTGTACAGTCATCTAGAAATTAAATAATTTGTAATCGAAATATTGATGGTCATTTAAAAAAAAAACAAGCAGACTGAAAAGAAGTACTTGAATGAAAATTTTAAATTTAAGTATCTACTTTAAATTAAGCATTTCTATATAAAAGTAACATATTCACAGACTGAATAAAGATCTAAATCCACTGCCGGTTGATTATTCAATATACGGAAAGGTGAAGGCCGCGATTCGATTTTATGTTCCGGCGTTTTTGCTTCGAAACTTTCGGATAGTGTAATCTGAAAAAAAAAACAAGGTAGCGCAGAACAGACAACCTCAATACGAGAGAGGAACTTAAAAGACTTCAAATTAGATACAGCGTTTCGGTAATTTTCAATTTATATGTATTTATATGTTTTTTTTTAATATTTTCACTATTTTTAGAAGATAATTTCGCAAAATTAAAACTTAGTAAAACTTACAGTAAATGCACCACATAATGATTTTTTTTTAATTTCTTTATCAGACTTCTTTTCTGGTCGTATTGATGCAGTTCTGTAATTAGGGCTCCAAATGGACCAATCTGGCACATTTTGAGGAAGAACAATTGGATCACCTTGAGACCCACCCGGAATATTTCCCAGAGCAAAACTAAAAATTACAATGCTTTACAAACTAGTAGATGAAATGAACCAACAGCGAATGACAGACACAAAATAATAAAAGAAACAAACAAACCTTAATGCAATTTCTGGTGGTTGAATACTTCCTGCATATGCAAAGTCATCAGTACTTTCCTGACCATCCAAGTCAAACTGAAAATCACCATAACATGAAAAAGATACATAAAATCATCAAAAAAAAGTTTATGCTGTCACTTACACTACAATCATTTTCGCTACTTTTCTGAATAATTGGATAGTCATTTAAAGGACGCTGCCGTCTTTCAATAGGATCAAAAATAATTTGATGGAGAAATGTGTTTTCAGCACGGATGAAGTCAGCAATAAACTGCTTGGTTATTTTCAATGAATTTTTGTTTAAGTATCGCGGTAGCCGAGGTAATATCTGTAAACATAACTTACTAAATGCATAGTACGAATCAAATTACTATTTAATAAATAAGCAGCAGAAATTTGTAAGCTTACTTGATGCAAATTTTTGCTGGTGGTCTTGGCAAAGAAAGTTGCAGCTTTGTTTAATCCAACTCCATGAAGACCTGCCTACAATTAAACTCTTATGAATTAATATTATTCATCATTCATTCCATTACTTTATATTTAGTTTGGCACAAGCTTGATATTTATTTACCTGTAAATAATCACATCCTGAGAGAATACAGATTCTTCGAAATTTATCAAAATCAAACTGATCAGCAAGAGCTCGACACAAACACTTCGGAAGTAAATGCTGCTCAAAAATAACGCAAGATCCTGTAGACTCCATTTTGAAAACAATCTGAAACTCTAACATATTTCTATTTTCACTGATCATAAAGTTTTGTTAAAAACTAGGAATATAACTTCATAATCACTTTTAACACAGATAATGCATTAATCAACATCAGACCTTTTCACAGCCGAAAGCAATTAAATCCGAATCTTCTGTTACAACAGCTTCCACCATTTTCGACTTCATCAAAAAAGTTAGCTGCGCATCAGACTCGTAAGGAGCAACTATCACATCAACCATTTCCAGTTGTCGAAACGCCTTGGAATTAATGCTTTTACATTTTAAAATATACACATTGTGGGAAAAAAAATTGGTCATCGTAAAGTTGATAGTTTTCAAACTGAAAATGAGCAGTAATAGCATAAAAATTAAAAATATTGCAATACTAATATAAATTAAAATTTGTTTCATCAAACAATAATTAATATTTTAGCAGACAATAACAAATTCAAATATACTAGATTCACTATAGTATTTTGTTGCATCTGCATCAATAGATTATATTTTACCTGAATTGCACTTTCGATTATTTTTGTTGTCAGTGAAGCGCTACGTTTAAAACAATCATAAGCTTCAATAGACCTACCCTGGCTCATCAATAAATCACCTCTTTGCTTTTGGAAATCACGTTTTTCACGTCTAGAACTGTTGGTTTCCTAAAATTTGTTTAATAAATGAAACATACAAACAATAAAAATATTGCAAACAAGCCATGAGGATACTTTACATGATTACTTCTTAATCTTAACTTGCAATATTAAGACTTATGAATAATGGCTACATACTCATGATAATATTTCATATACGACAAACCTTTTTAGCAGGCAACATTTGTCCATCAAAAACAAGAATAACATGGCAATTGTTAGCGAGTAAAGCTTTCACGTATTTCATCACATAATGTATGTAACTAAAACGTATAAAATCAGCGTCAGCAATAAAAAGTATTGAAAAGAATACATTTAACTATAAAATTGAAATTACTTTTAAAAACTTTTTTAAATAGAAATCACTAATTTTGAATGAAATACGACGAAAATATGACAGAATGATCTTGATAAAAACTCCGAAAAAAGCTAACAAATCTGTTTCGTGTCCTTGAGCCACTTTATCAGCGCAACCAATTAATCCTCGATGTAATAGACAACTTACATCGACAGCAACTGACTGATTGGCTAATTCACTGATATTACCCTAGAATATAAGCCATTCATACGAGAACGAATCTGCTTCTGTAAACAACGGAAACCTTCTTGTTACTTTATCATTACAAATCACATTTGCGCAACGTTTTTATGAATCAAACATATATTATTAAAGATGGAAAATGTGAAAACAAAGAGCAAAACAAAATTCAACCGACGCCATGTGAATAAAATCACACAAAGCTTAATGGTGGCAAAAACTCACTTGACGGCACGCATTTTTCACGAAAGGCAATAAATTCGGTATTCCCATTGCTGAAAATGTCCAACTCTGAATAGAAAAAATCTTAACAGTTAGTTTATCTCACTATCAGCATCGTAGATGGCTTTTTTTAAAAAACAATACCTCTTAATTTCAATATTGTTAATTTTTGAATATGAAAATTTTGCGCTACGTATTAAAGTTGAAATATAAATTTAGAGTTTTGAAGTTAAAACATGAAAGCTGTAAAACATTAATAGGTTTGAAAACAATTTGCTACATTGATGCGCTTTGTTGCACCAGTCCATCGCTTATTAAACGTTGATTGTGTGGGCTATGTGTGTTGTCTGGTATCATGTGTTCGTCTTTTTTCATTTAATTGCTGTGTCTTAATTTTATCCTTTATAAATCGTGTTCTTGACTTTATTAATTCGTTCATTGATAAGTCTTTTTTCTGTATTTATATGATCACAAAAATTGATTTTCTTGCATTTTTTACGTACCTGGATTTTTTATGTGCACTCGTATGCTCATCAATACTTCTTAAGTTCCATGTTTCTTATTCTTCGAATTGAGCTCCAAGAATATTCCTGAGGTACTCACTATCTTAACTAAACCTGTTATTCCATCTTTATGGCTTTTTTTTAATTTAGTTTTTATTGGGTGTGTGAATGTGATCTGAGTGTTTTCCTTTTCTTTTCAATAAATGGATTCAGTAGTTTTGTGCTTGATGCATGACCCATGAAAAACAGTCGTAAGTGATAAGAATTTCATAATTTCAAATGGTAGTCGTATAGATGAATCTCCTATTTTCTCAGAGACTAGTGACTCTTAATTTAGAATTCAATTTCCTGTTATCATTTTTTGAAGTGCGTTTCATCATAAATTAGCGGTTAGCACATAATTCTGAGCATTTTTTTTAGATTGGACTCGTTATGGATGTACTTAAAAATGCTGCTTGTACATGTTGTCGAGTCTTCTTCACAGATGGCGACTCACAGCGTGAACATTACAAATCAGATTGGCATCGCTACAATCTCCAGCGAAAGGTTGATCTATACATTTAATTATTTTTTGATTCTTTTAAGAATATAGAGTGATGTGAGATATGCTGTATTTGATATTGTAAAATATGCTATTCGAAGTTTTTATTCTGTTTATGAATACAAAGAATTTTTGTGCTATAAGTAATGATTAATTATGGTACATTAACATTTTCCTTTCTGCAGATTGAAGCCTTTCCTGTAGTTACCAAACATCAGTTCGAGCAAAAAATGTTCGAATATGGAAGAGAGGTGGCTTATATTTTAACATTTCACTAAATTTAATCATTCTTCTCTATGGATACTGTAAATTCAAGCTATACATGAGATAGGATTATCAATATGTGTGGGTCTTTAAATTCCTTATGACGAAACGCTTGGCCTGTTGAAAATCCAGGTGTTGAACTCTAGATTTCATGAGTTTGTTTCTATTTAAAATTTGTTTCTATCATTTTCATTAATTGAAAGATTGGTATAGGTGCGCTAGGATATTGTAGTGCTGTGGAAAAAAGTAGCTCATAATACGAAGTGTGTAAAAATTTCGTCTAATCATGATTAAAGAGCAATATCAGATATACAATTTTACTTCTTTTTTTGAGGACAACAAAGATCAAAATTTTTTTCATCTAATTAGTAGCTCAAATTTGACGATCATTTTTCATTCTCTGGATTTTTATTTATTTAGAAATAAGTTCTTGATATTGATTGCAAATTTTTAGAAAGTGGCCCGAGAGATTGAAAAAGCAGAATCATTTACTTGTGAATGTTGTAAAAAACAGTTCCAGTCAACGAATGCTTATGATAACCATATAAATTCTAAGAAGCACAAGGAAACTGAAAAAGCATCAACACAAAGGAATGCACAGGTTACTGTTCTCAAACTCTATAAGTAACCGTCGTGTTTTCTGTGGTATTTTGTAAACTTTGAAAATAAACAGATTATCTATCAGAAACAAAATGCAAGAGTATTTTTAGACGATAGCTAAAAGATCATCAGTAAAAGGAAAGAAAACTTGTGAAAAAATAGGTGATCATTTTGGTGTGGACAATATCGAAAACGAGAATGATTTAGATGAACTTGATAATGGATGGGTTACCGACCATGATACCGATGAAGAAGATTTCGATGAATCCAAGGTAGTTCGTTCAATTTTTTTCGTATAATCTTTCTAGTGGAAATTTGTAATAAGATAAATTTTTTCTGAAGGCTAGAGTACTGATGTTTTACAGGCCATCTCAAACACGGTGTGCTTATTTTGTAATCATGTTTCAAGGAATTTGGAAACAAATTTACAACACATGAGTAAATCACACGGATTTTTTCTGCCAGATGTGGAGTTCTGCGTAGATATTAGTGGCATGTTACACTATTTAGGTATGTTTCAAATAAAGTTGCAATACATTTTTATTCCGAACCAGTAGTTAAATGTTTTTAAAGCATATTTTGGTGTTAAAGCGTTAATTGACACTTATGGTTTTTCCAGATTATCGTAAAACGTAAAAAATTTTGATGGTACAGATAATTATGCATCACCATTTTATTTTGCAGGTTTGAAAGTTGGTAGTGGTCACATGTGTTTATCTTGTAATGAGCGGAGAACGTTTTTGTCATTAGATGCGTGTCAGAAGCATATGCAAGATAAGGGACACTGTTTTATTGATAGCAGTACAGAAGGATTGGCTGAGTTTGAAGACTTTTACGATTATAGGTATAAGTTTCATATTCTTTAAATAAAATATTTACTTATTCAAGATACCATTTTTATGTTATCTATTGTTCTAGTTCCTTGTATACGGATGAAGAAAAAACTGGTGGATTTTCTGATGTCGTGATCGTAAGTGATGGATACTCCCTTACATTGCCATCAGGTTGGTTTGTTTTATTTGCAAAGCAATCTTAGTATGTTACCTTTTACTTTTTCTTTTTCGAACCCAGCTTTAGGTGCGAGAATTGGGCACAGGTCACTCTTACGCTATTACAAGCAACGCTTAAAACCGTTAGTGAATGAATCTGAAAGTCATCATCAGAAAAAAGCAATTATTCTCAAGAAAGCAGTGATTGGACAGTATAAACAGTTAAGATGGAATGAAATGACTGGTTAGTTTTTTTTTTTAAACATTGTTGTGAAATGTTAGAAATAATCGAGGGTTTTTAGCAGATTCTCAAATTCACACCGTAGAATTTCAGGAACATTAGCATTGCAACGAGCGAAAGATATGCTGTATATTAAAAATAGTGCCAAGAAGTGGTTGAAAACAGGGCTTAGCAACAATAAACTATTCAAATCACGTGGTAGAAGTGATCAGTAATGATTGGTACCGTATGTTAGAGATTGTAATAAGGTAATTTCCCATATTGTTGAGTGTTCATTTAGAATGTTGAAACATTTACAACAAATCATCGGTGTGGAAGCTTATTTTTACTCTTCTTAAGTAGTGTAATTTCTATTTTCTTGCTGGTTATACAGGAAGACATTTTTGGTATATTTTTTACTAGATGGTCAGTTTGGTATGATTTTTCAAGATATTCAAAGATTTCTAAAATCTCAAGAAATTATGCTGATTTCTTTAAAATGAAAAGGAATCTGAGTAGTTTTTTAAGAATATTTGTAATTTCTTTCATGCATCGTTGATTTACACATATGACAATGATAGTTTGTAGTGTTGAGGGATTTCTGATTGCTTTGTTTTTTCTATTTTTTTTGTCTATGTTTTTTGCCTTGCTAGATGAGAGTATATTCATGTAAATAGAATTAAAAAAATTTTTTTTTCCAAAATGAATCTGAATAACAAAATTTGGTTTACTTCAAATTGTATTTCGAATTATAGAATGTACTATGGTTTTGAGGTGAACGAATTTGATCAAGAGGTGTGTCTTTTGATTTATTTTATGCAAAGCAGCCGTATTTATTGTTTGTTAGATTTGTAATATGAACACTGAATAAATGATAAGCAGATACAAGCGTGGTTATTCTGTCAAATGAAGTGATATTCCGGTAATAGACATTGGTAAATATTTAATGGAAAATGTTTTCTTATATAATATATGCAGGTAATTGGAATTTGGTCTTAGTCATTCCCAATGGTGTTGGCTTAAAGTGCATTATTTTTTAAAAGAAACAGCTCAATATCAGTTGGTAAGATAAAGATTTTTGTTTACCTGGGTTTAGGGAGAGATTAAGAGTGTTGGGTTTTATTTTTTGCATTTGCAATTCAAGGTATCGTATGTAGACAAAGTGGTTCTACATGCGAATTCCTGAATTGTAAACGAGGTATGAATTTGATGGTGGTTTTCGTGTAATGTTAACAGGACTTCAAGAGATGTTATCTAACTGTAATTCTGTAGTAGTCATGATTTGTACTGTGATATGCTTTCTGATATTGAAGTGCCAGTTGGTAAATTAGAATTTGAAAATGTCTTTGAGGATGTGGTTTCAAGTGCAAGCATTTTGTAGCTAGAGTGAAACTTTATCTGAGCTTCAGTCAGGATAAATTTGTTTGGCCAAAAGTATTGCTTCCATCTTTATTGATTTTGCTATATTTCTAAGGGCTTTTTCTTATCTCTAATTCATTATTTTTTCTCGTTAACACGATGTACTTCCCGAAGTTAACTATTGATTAACTCTGCATATCAAAGTGGAAACTGGTTTTGTTGCTGTGATACTAAGGTACAAGGTTTGTTGTGCTAAGTTTTACGTATTCTTGGCTGTTGTCCATTAATACTCGTTGAATCTTCTGTTTTTTAAATTAGCTCTGCTGATACTATAAATTTATTGTTTATCATTCATATTACTATTAATCATTTCTCTACTACAATCCTTTCAAACCTATCATGACGAAAAATAAATAAAAGTTCAGAATGTATATAAATTTGCTTATTTTGCTTTTTGTCTGCCCGTGTTTTTTTGTGAATCTGCATTTGAGCATTCAGATTAAAATCATTGGAAATTAAGAGACGCGTTGAACGTCTGTTCAAATAATCCCAGCGAGTTATTTGAAGGAACTTTAGAGATGTGATGAAGTCTGCTTTATTGACTTAAAATGTTATTCTACCATTTTCGCTCGAGCTAAAATCAATAACTGACTGAAGTTAGCGTGAGTTTCTCATGCTAATTAATAATTGATGCATGCAGTTCTTTTGTGTGTCGTTGAGAGTGAAAATTCTACTCTAATTGGTGGATATAAAAGATAAAATTAAGATTAGTCTAGCATGTTACTGCAAGTTGTTCAAAGAATTTCTACTTCATCAATTCTGTTAAATAACTGCTTCAAATTAGCAAAGTTTTACTATTGTTGCTACAGTAAGTAATGGACGCTACGCTCAGAAAGAAAGAAATATTATTCAGTACTTCATTTTGTAGTCATTTCTGAGTTTTCCAGACAATATTTTTTTACTTGTTTACTGATCTGTTTTACTAACCTGAGAAGATTGATAAGATATGGTTGAAGAAGGCGATTATTTTCGCAAAAGATCCAAACTCTTCGAGCATCTTCAGCAACAGGCACTAAAGGTTAGTTACTGTGATGTCATATATCTTCATATTTGCTCTATTCTTATCAAGGCCTGATAAGATTATTTTTGAATAAATGAAAGGACATGAACTGTTTTATGTTTCAGTTTTCTCTTTAAAGTCTTTATTTAGAAAGTATTTCATCCCAAAAGTTGACTTTTGATCATTTAATCTGGCGAGAGATAACTCACTTAATTCTCATTTCTGATCTTGCATTTTAGTATCCATGAATTAATCACTACCTCTGATAGTCACTGAAGCTTTTAGTAAGTAGCACAGTAAGCAGAAATTTTGCTTATAAAAGTTTTTATCTGTTAATTAACCTTATCAAATGTATCTGAAATATGTTGTGTTGATAATGAAAAAGTCTTGTGGTTGTTAATATTGCCTTGCGATATCGTATGTGATATAGTTTTGTTTGTGTTATTTCCAGGACTTGTTATGGGTTACCAAGCTGTTACTTGAGAGATTGATGAAGTTCTGCAAATTCAGTCATATTTCATTTCGTTCCTTTGTCCCATCATTTTTTAAAAGTAATGCTTACTGTTTTTAAATGTTGTCATCCTTCACAAATGGAAAATACGTCGTTTTCACATGCAGTGCTGATTGTTGAAAGAAGAATGGTTCTAGCATATTTTTTATCCTTTCCAGAAGCAGTTTGTTGGGACAGTTGTGGTGTCAGGTTAGAGCTAGATTCTGATTAACCGGATAGATATGATTTAATCGTCCTAAAAAGAATTATGAATACTTGATTCAAATTTTTCCCAGGTCTTGTAGATTACAGATCAAAGTTGAGAATGCACATTTTACAGATCAAATGATTGATAAATGAATAGATTCTATGATTTATAACATTATAAAAATACGATATTAATTTGTCCCAAACTTTCAATTAAAAAAGAACTTGCCATATTTACCTTCCACAATCTACTTTAGAAAAGTTGCATTCCGTGTGTCTCTTCTTCTTATATTAATTACTTAATTTTTCATTTTACTTTAATTATTTTAGTTTTTATGCGCACGCCAAAATCAGTAAGGTAAATGTTCTCGTCTTATAGAGAAAATTTTGATGGCCTGAGAACTATTCTATTAAATGTGTTTTCGCTGACTGTGTACTTCTGTGTATTATTTCTTTCAGTCATTAATTTCTTTCAACAATCATTAATAGTCTACAGTATTTTTGGTGAAGCTTATCATAATTATTGCTATTGACATGAATGATATTATTAATGAGAATATAGAGAATGTGCTAATTTTAGCATCTAGGTCTCCCTCCACTGATTCTTTTTCGAATCTTTTTATTAGATTTCAAGAAAATGAACTATTTCTTCAATAATGTTTTCTAAATAATCGCTGAATATTTTTGAATTCTTAAGTCATCAATGGCTTTGCATTGTTCCTAAGCCAATTCACTCGAAACAGTTAGCCGTTTTCATTAAATTATTAAGACTTTAATAAAACAGTAATGAATGGGTGTAGTCTGTTAATCATCAGGTACGCAAGTGAAAGAAAATATACAACAATTGGTATATGATGAAGAGTGTAGCAGTAATGATATGAATTGTTTAATGGTACTAATGAGAGCGTTTTAATTGCTTTATTTTTGTCAGAGATGTTCTGGATGAAAAAATCAGTCTGAATGAAGTATTTGTTGTAAGTAATCTCTACCATTTATTTAACTATGAAACTATTGTTTAAAATAGTATCAATCACAATAATAATTATTGTTACATCGATATATTCTGTAGGAAGCTCGAAGCTGAAAATTAAAATTCAGCTGTTCAAATATAAGATCAAATTTTGACACTTTTTCGTTATTGCTTATGATGTTTGATTTATTCGTATCATTAAGTTTGTTGAATTTAAGGTTTGAAGCGTTAATTCGCTCAGTCCTTAATTATACACTGTATAACAGCGGTCGATATAATATGCCGTTATCATTGTACTTATATCATTAATTTTCATTAAGTGTTTTTTGATCAGATAAATATGAATATTTTTTTGAAATTCAGAAGTCAAAAATCGTCTCATTTATTTTTTACTCTCATCTAGATGTAGAAAATTTTAGGAGCAAGACAGGGTTGATTGAAGTGGCAGTCAGATTCAGAAAATGTGTATGGTATTGGAAATGAATTGAGGTTATTACGAATATAACTTTTTTCATTTCAAGCAAGATTATTTCTTGCAAACTTTTTCCAATTTCAGTTAAGAAAGTTAATGGTAAAAAGATGCAGATACTATTGTGCTGCTAAACATGGAGTGTGTTTACTGTTAGCAAGCAGTCATAAAATCCTTTTTTATGAATTGCTAAGGCAGTTTAAGTTTAGCTGTTCATGGCAGTAATTGTTTCTCTTTTCACATCGGGTCGTTGTCGCAATTCAGTTAGTTTTTAAATAGAAATAAAAATTGTAATTGAGGAAATTTTGCACATTTTAATTTTACATTTAAAATGAATTAGATCATAAAGTCGCTCACTTTTACTCAAACTTTATTACTCTCAAAACTATTACATCTTAGAAAGGAACTGCGATTTATTTATATAAATAAGTAAATAGAGCGTTGGTTGCGTCTACGCATGCATTAATTCATTTATTCCACCACACCATTCACTCTTGACTTATTATCTCTTTTTTTTGTTGCAGTCTTTGAAATGGTTTTAAAACGTTTATGCGAATGTCATTGACCTTGTTGCATAAGTTTAGATAAGAGATGATAAGGATTGGCGAGATTCATTGCACGTGTATTTCTCAGTGGTATATTATTACTCCAATTCTTGTTTGTGAGGAAAAGTTCATAGTATGAAAATTCGTGAATTTAGTTGATCAAAAATCGCACTCTCTAATAATAGTGACGATTTAATTATAGACAAATATCCTTTGCTGATGAGAAGTAAAACTGTGATTTCATTATTTAAGAAATAAATTAATGGGATCAGTTGGACGTTGTCTACGACATTTGATCAAATACAATGATAAGTAATGAATTGTTGTTTTGTTCGGATCCCAATATTAAAGTTTTTATCATTAAATAATGAAAGCAGAAAAAGTTGTTACTGATAAGAGCAGAAACATAGCAGCAGCTATGGAAATTTTTTAATAACCTTCAATGCGGGTAGTTACTGTGGTAGTTAGTTGGTAGTAACAGTGCAAATATTTTGGTCACAATTAAGCTGCAGTTGAGTGCTTATTTGATAGTGGATGAGTATAAATTTGCATTTGATTGCATGTGTTTTACTTGTTATGATATAGTAGTACTTTTATTATCCTCTTTATTTTCTGGTTTGTTTTAACTAACTATTACGAATGTATAGTATTTTTAATTATGTTTTCTACAAGGTATGTATTCTGAAACATTCATTGTACTTCGCAAGATACCAGCCATATTATGATTTCGTTGTCGCAATTTTGAATTTTAAGAACGTTCTAAAAAATATCTAGAAGAGAAGTCGGTAATGCTTATTTTCGTTGCGTTTTTATGTTTTCTCGCTGTTTTGATTGCAGAATTTGAATAATGCATTTTAGCGAAAGTTTTAATATCAAAGACTGATCAGAGAGTAGCACCTATATGTATATAAGCATTTATTGCATCATTTCGCCGAACATTTGCTGTACGACAGTCGACGATGCGGGTAAGTTTCTTCAAAAATGTTACATAAATGTGATTAGTATACACCGATCACCAACAGTCAACAGTGCAAGAGTCAAAGTCACAAGCTGATTTTTCACTTTTTCACAGATTCAATTATTTTCGGCTTGCTTTTTTTCTACAGCATTATTTACAGTTACTAAAAGCATTGAAGGGCTTTTTTGGAATAAGTGGTAGAGAAGCTTTTGAGGATATTTCTCCGAGAAATGAACTGCTAACGTTTTCTTTGTAACTGTCAAGAATGTTGATAAGAGACAAGAGCATGCATGTCAGAGAATCAGGGCATTATCAAGGGGGTTATCGAGCTTTGCAAATTCCTCGCAACATCACTCCTTTCTCACTTTCACTTTCGAAAATATTTGATACAATTTTTTCATTGATTGATCATTGATTTGCTTTCCATAACGAAGTATGATTATTGCTTGTACTTTGTTACGGGAAAGAAATGAAAAATTGGGCCAGATAGTAACTCTTGGTCAAAGGTTATCATTCGCGCTAATATGTCTTACTTTTATTATCACAATTCACTTTTATCTCTTGCCTCTTCGACATTTTCTGTCATTCTGAGCACTCTTTTAATTGTTAAGAGAATTAATTAATCACTGCTCATTATCACTGAAAGAGATCTTATCTCTGAGCACTCGCAGTTCTCCAAAGCTTTATAATGAGATATCGTGATCTTGCTATCCCTCCTGACCCAGAAACAGAGCAAAGCTGTGGCTTTACTTTTTAAATCTTCTCCCGAGTCTAATACTCTTGCAACTTGTCCTTCTCCTTTTTTCTTCCTATCCTCAGACACCATTCATTTTCAGTCTAAACCTTTCATTTTGTCCGAGAGGATTTCTAAAAACTATCAGCAACCATGTACCCAAAGGAAGAGACAAGCGTCGGTTGTTTCCTTCATCTTATTTTCCAGCTTTTCGTCATTCTTTCTGATAAAAATAATCAAAATGCTATCAGAATCACTTTTATTCTTCATTGATCATAATTCAATATTTAGCTGCATTTTTGATATTTTTCATACACGATTTTGAATGCAAGAAATGGTATTGAAAAGTATGCCCAACCTTCAGTTGTAGTTGTTTATGCAAAATCTAAATATATCAATTTTTTTATTATGCAGATAACCTCTGGATATGTAAAATTTTTAATATTCTTAACTTTTGTAGAGTTCAGAAGAATGGAAATCATCAACAAAGCGGGAGACTCTGCGTGGCATGGAACAAGAGCTGCGGAACCTCATCGAAACCGCTTCTGCAGATCAGAAAGAAGTTAATTTTGAGTTTTGTTATGCTGAAGTAATGGGCACACTTTTTCGCCAAGAATTCGACTTTTAGCTTAAAAATATTGTTTCTTAACTGCGCATGTATTGTTCAAATCAATTTTTAGCAAACTAAATTCTGATACAGATGAACATCAACCTTAGCTGTTTGCAGGCTATACAAGAAGAACTCACTGGTTTTCGGGATTTGTTTTCTCGTTTTTTGCGAGCTAAACCTACCATCGACTGGAAGAAAATCCAGCCATTACCCGAAAAGTCAATTGTATCCTATAAAGAAGTAATGTTATGCAAATTTTTTTAGTATTAACAAGATTCCTAAGATTCTTGCTGGTCTAAAACAATGCACGAAATTTGCTTAAATGAAAATTTTTATTTTAACTATTTTTAGAAGCTTTATAGTTATCTCAAGGGGGCTGTTTAAGGATGAAATAAAGTGGTAGGTAAATATAGTTTTCGGTTGCAGTATAAGAATTAAAATATATCCATACTTTCTAATTTTCAATTAAATGCTTTGGATATTCTAAAATTTAATTCTGTTGAAGTTGCAACTGCATAATCCTAGCAAAGATTTGGTGGCTGATCTGTTAAATAAATTGGTGGTAGTGAAATTGAACGGTGGTCTAGGCACATCGATGGGTTGCAAAGGTCCAAAATCTGTGATATCTGTTCGAAACGACTTGACATTTTTGGATTTGACATTGCAGCAGATTCAGGTTTGAACTTTGCAGTTTAATTTTATTATCCTTATATCTATAACTTCAATTCATTACGCTTATCGACAGTAGGATAATGATGTTGATACATCCAATAGCACTGACAGTAGTATGGACAAAAATAAGTCATACATAAAAATTCAGAAATGAAATACTTGTGGATTTTTTTCAGTTATGATTATATTCTTGTTGTCACTTAAAAGCATATTTGCATGAATTAAAATAAATTAAAGAACTTGAATCGAACATATGATGTCAACGTACCATTGGTTTTGATGAATTCGTTCAACACGGATGAGGATACGAAGAAACTTTTGAGAAAGTATAAAAATGTACAAGTAGATGTTCACTCTTTTTGTCAATCCAGATATCCACGAATATACAAAGAATCATTAATGCCAATGGTAAAAAATGCTGCTGATAGCGATTTGGAGGGGTAATTTCATCTATTTAATTAATTGTACTCGCAATAGTAAGTTTGACTTGTTACTATATCAAATGATGTTGAGCATTTTAGCCTGAGATTTACACGATTTAAATAAGCTTAAACTTGTGTTCTATTGCATATATTCCGTTTTCATACAGTTTTTTTTTTCATATTTTTGAGTTATTTCATACAATGACTTTGCAGATGGTATCCACCAGGACACGGTAATTTCTATGAAGCGTTCTATAATTCAGGACTTTTGGATAAATTTCTTCATGAAGGAAAACAGGTATTCGGCGGAAGACTCAGTACTTTGATGGAATATTATTTAGTATGAAATTGAAGATATTTAGAAAATTAGAAAGAAAGTCATATAACGTATTATGTCTCATTTTTATTTTGTGGATTTCTTTTATTTAAAGAATATAGTTTACAGCATGTGTGCGATTTCTTCTGCATTTATAAAAGTAAATAATATTGAATTTTTTGTAAATAAAATACTATTTTAGTTTTCTTTTATGTCAAATATTGACAACATGGGAGCTACTGTTGATATGAATGTTTTGAACTTCATAATACAAGGCATTGATGGTCAACAACCCGAATTCGTCATGGAAGTTACTGATAAAACAAAAGCCGATGTTAAAGTAACTTGGAAATTAATTTGTTAATTTGAATAATTTTGAGTTATTTATGAAAATTTTTTTTCCATGTAATATTGTTATATATTTCAAGGGTGGCACACTGATTCAGTATGAAAATCGATTAATGTTATTGGAAATCGCTCAAGTGCCAAAAGATTATGTTGATGAATTTAGAAGTGTGAGCAAGTTTAGGTTTGTATGGTGATCTTATCTATTTTGTCGCTCATGTTTAATTGTGAGCACATTTTAATAAGAAATTTGTTCAATAAATCAGGAACATTACGAGTTATTATTATTTAGAATTTTTAATACGAACAATTTATGGGCAAAATTAGAAGCAATTAAACGAGTGGTTGAAAAAAAAGAGTTAGAAATGGAAGTAATCGTTAATACGAAACATTTGGATCGTGGCGTTGAGGTGATACAGTTGGAAACGGCCGCTGGTGCTGCTATCAAGAACTTCAAAGGATCTTGTGGTAACTTCATATATATGCTCAGTTGCAGTTGTTTTAAGTTTTAATGTGATGGACAAATATGTTAAAATTTCTTAATATAAAACTTGATTTCAACGTTTTGTTCTTACAGGGATTAATGTTCCTCGTTCGCGATTTCTTCCAGTAAAGAAAACTTCGGATCTTTTATTGTTAATGTCAAATTTATATGATATTGAAAATGGCAATTTAACGCTTAGTAAGCTTCGTTCTTTTCCAACAACACCACTTGTGAAGTTGGGCAGTTCTTTTGATAAAGTACGTTATTTTACATACTTCTTTCATTTTCCATACCTTCTTTAACGTAATATCCTTACCGAACCAAGCATATTTATTTTTCATGCTTAGCTTTAAAAACTTCAGTAACATTTAAGTTCGGCTTACAACTTTTCTTTTTTCCATTCAAAATCTTCAGTCCGTAATCAATGACGTGTTCGAGTTTTTTCTCTAATTGCATTAACTAAACTTCAGTATTTCAGGTGCAAGAATATTTAAAGCGTTTTCAAGGCATACCAGATTTGCTTGAATTAGACCATCTAACTGTATCTGGTGATGTTTGGTTTGGTAAGGATGTCACGTTAAAGGTACTTCCTGCTTTTTTTTTCAAAAGAATTTGCCAGAAATTCAAAACAAATTGTTTTCGGTAAGATAATTATGCTCAGATGACTCAAAAATAACTTTGAGACTATTTGGTAATTTGGTGATATTGTTGTTGATATTGCATTATTCTAAAATCCTAATTTTTAGGGTACAGTAATAATAATAGCAAATCATGGTGATCGTATCGATATCCCAGCCGGAACCATTCTTGAAAACAAAATCGTTTCTGGCAACTTGCGTATTCTGGACCACTAAATGGCCTCTTGAAAAAACGATATTAGAAATTGTCTTCGGATAAATTCTCCTTTCATTGAGGATTGACTACTAACAGTTTTATAACCATAGTGTAGATTCTACACTAATGTATCTAAACTTTATTTTAATGTTTTTTGATTCTTAGATGTAGAGACTGCACTAGATTTTCGTTCGCTGTTTGAGATTTAATTAGAAATACACTTGTTAGTACCATTTTTAGTTTGATGTAAAATGCTCAATCTTTCTGCTTATAAGGTAATGAATTGTATAGACTAATTTTTTTTATATGAAAAAAATTAACTCATTTTATTATCTTATAAATATGAAAATTTGCGGCTGATGAGTTGGATTTTATTGAACTTTCAAATAACGAATAATAATTTCAATATTACTTCAAATAATAATTTCAGTTTCAAATAACAAATTAATAATTTGTTAATAATTGAGTACCTGGCAGTTATTTGTCAATGGTAATTTGTTAATAATAGTGTATTCCCTAACACTTTCTTACGTTCTAATGTAATTACATAAATGTATGTATAGAGCAATTTGTGCCTATCTGTTTCTATGCAAGGATTTTTACGACAAGGATTGTTTAAAAATAAAGTTTGTTCATTCCAAAATGAAGTTATTTTGCAGTATGTAGTTACGTCGTAAAAGTTTTGAATTTTTTAGCACACCCGAAAGACAAGCAAGTTCTTTATTAGAAACATCTGTACTATCCTGTAAGCTTGAAATACAGCCTGTAAATATTAGAAACCATATACTAAGACTTGTTACTTATAAAAATTCTCTTCATTACAAACATTCTTTCCATTTTAAGCGCACTTGTATAAGATGCACGGTTCATTTTTTGGTCCATATAAACTTTTCTTTATTTGTTGTTCTTTAGTAAACAAATATGATAAATAAGTATAAATAACACTAGGCCTTTATGCTATCGAAGAGTTTAAAATAACTTGGAACAGAATTTTTTTAATCTTATATGATCAAAACTTATATTTACATAAAAGCTTTGACTATATAAATTGTTTTATCTATGCAGCGTCAAGTACTTGATTTCAAACCAGCAGTGAATTAAGACCACCGGTTTACCGAAAGTTACGTAAAAAATGTAAATTTGGTTTCTTAAAGTTTGCTGCAATTAAATAAATAACCGAATATCAACAGCAAGAGCTAATTCACACTTTCATACAGCAATCAAAGCAAGAATTAAAATTGCAAACAAACCCAATATCACAATAGCAATAACTGTCCACAGTAGTTGAGCTATCCCCCCACACCAAAAATGAATATTGCCTTGCCTTCTCAGCTTTACACTTTTATGATTTTGAGACTGATTTACCTGAAATTAATTTGCATAAATTTCCCGTGCAAAAGATCATGCATGAATTGATTATAGGTCTAGCAAACTTTTATTATCAAGTCTATTGTTTTACTCTTTCATTCTGTTATTTCTTAAAAATCTATTTGCAATTAAAAAACGCTATAGTCATGTATTGCTGTAAGTAAGTCATTTATCGGTACTTTCTTTCCATGCCTAAATGATGCAGAAGTAGTGCAAACTAATCGTGAAAAACTAGTAGACTTGTAACGCAATATTCATCATATCAAATCATTTAAGATCTTACTATCCCATTTGAACGGTAGATTAAATGCGGTGGAAAAGGAGAATATTTTAGTGGTGGTGGAGTACAATGATAAGGGATAAAAGGTTGAGAAGTATGCCATAGTTGTTGCACAAGTGGAAACGAAGCAGCCTGTTCATTGTACAAAATTATGCCTTTACCATCTTCAATGTTATTATTACCATCATAACGTACATATCTACAATTAATTAATTTCAAAATAAAAACTTATAATAATATATCAACACTCGAAGCATTCTTCATTTCTGTCATTACTAACCAAAAATTCTCAAATTTTGATTACTAAATCTAAAAATTTTTTATAAATTATGCAATTATGATTTATGAATACTAAAAAATTTCCATACTATCGAGGAATTAGGAAGAGTAATTAATTTAGCAAAGTTCACTCGCACCACATCAATAAAAAAGTTAAATTGAAATGAATTGAATTAAACTTTAACTTTTTTATGACCAGCGAAAAAAAGATTTTATAAAGAAAGAAATTGCTTTGACATAATCACACAAATAAAATGCATAATAATTGAGTTGTAATCTCTTATATAATCATTTTTCTCAATTAAAAGTAATCTTTGCCTGCTAAGCGACGGATTCCTTTGCACCTGTTGTGTGCCATTTCTTGACCTTTGCACTTTTTGTATTTCCTTAAACCATACAATTATTCTAAATGTTGAACAAAATAAATAGACTTTATTCAGAATGTATGCCTCATGATAATTCCAGGTAAAATTTATCCACGCTTAAAATGGATAGTAATTGTCTTGTGAATTTCGCTGTGCTTACAAATTTTTAAAGGCAAAGCATTCAATTTGCAAGATGAAAACTGAGTTGCTCATCGACCAGAAAGCTTATTTTAACTTGAATAAAAATAATGTAGTCGTATCAGGGAATGTTTCAAAGTGTTTAAAGCATTTAAACTTATTCCTTCCCTACAAATGATTTAAATTTTTACGATTTCTACATGAAAATATTCAAAAAAGGCGCTAATTTTCGCTTCATATAGAAAACAAAAAGATTTGCTCCATAGTTTTAAAATAAAATCAGCTCTGTAACACAGCTAAAAGATAATACTCATAAGGTTTGTGACTATGTCCTTATAAAGCGCTCAGAATGAATTCAAGGAAAGAAAATTAATGCAACTTTTTATTTCTCTTAAATGAAAAGGTCATCCAGGTTTAACTCATTACTCTTTAAATTCTCATTAAGTGCTTCATTATGTTCATAAGCACATCGACAATGACAATTTAAAAGTTTTTTCGCACAGAGAATTTTCATTTGAAGATAAATTTTATTAGAAAAAGATAATTATGCAATCATTTTTCAGTTATCCTTGATACAAAAGTTGAAGAAAATTAATTTATTAAGAGCATTACAGTAGAAAAATCAAGAAAACTTTACTGCAAAATCCATATTCAGTAATGTATTTAAATCTGGATTGAAATGACGGAATCTCATCCCGTTAACGTCATACTCAAAAATCAGCTACTTTATGACAAATAAGGCAAGCATAAACTATGCTTTCACTTTCAAAAGTAATAGGACAAGATATAGGTACCTTTTGTAGAGCAATGATTGTCATACTATTTAGGGAATTTGCCTTATAAGCGAGAAAAACGGTAGTAGCGGCCAAAAACTAACACATGAAAGTGTTAAGGTCACCGGCCCCTTGCCACCATACATGTATATCAGTGAGTCGGTGCCTTCTTCCCACTATCATTTACACAAGTACTTAGATACGCCTTCTCAATAATTACTACACTTAATGAGTTTATACTGTTCCTTCTTCATCTGTTACACTTACGGTACATACACTCACTTTATGCAAATACAATTATCTCAATCCTTAACTGGCCGTAGTATGACTGACTCCGATTCCCCTTCTTCATTCAATTCCTTTTTCATTGAAAGACCGATTTAGTCATCTAAAATGTACATAATTACACAATGAACTTGAATCCTTATACATATAGTTCATCAGAAAAAATCCCCTGCATTATTCGGCTTCACACTCACACCGAAGTTATACTTCCATTTTTCACAAAAAAAAAGATGGACTACTACAATCTAGTTAAAAATTACTAAAATCACCATGAAAAACAAAAAGTACTTTTATATAATAAAGCATAAAAACAAATAATACACAACTTGTTAGAATATGGAATATATTTCATATATCCTTTCAACAAAAACAGCAAAAACGCTTCCAATTAGTTTCATCAAAAACGTAGTATCTGATAGATACTCTATGAACGGCATAAGAACGGAAAAACGTAATGTCGCCAAGATAAAAATTCACCAAATTTAAACCTTTTTTATATTTCTCATTAAACAACATATATTTCAAATTTAAACTTGATATAACAACCGTAGACTTCATCCTAAGTTAACTTTCTTTATTTCATTTTCTATTGGAGCTTCCTTTACAAATGGTATAAAATCTTTATAAGGATCTGGCATGAATTTTCTTAAGGCTTTTGGCACACATATACCATCTTCTTCTTGATAATTTTCCAATAATGCACACAAAATGCGGGTAGTAGCACACATCGTTCCATTAAGCATATGAACGTACGGAACCTAAATCAGAAAAACCAAATACATTAAAATAGTATCACTTAAACAAAAAAAAATTGGCTTAAATCTTGGTAATGCTTCAAAAGACATATATTGAAAAAAACACATACTTCTCCACTTAGTTTCTTTGTTAGTCCATAACGAACCTTCAAACGTCGAGCTTGATAGTCAGTGCAATTTGAACATGAAACTAGTTCCCTGAAAACCTCAATTTAAAATCATGAAAAAAGAAATATTTCAATCTTATCAAATATTTGAACATTATACGTGAAAACAACCTGAACGCGGCACTTCCAGGAAACCACGCCTCTAGATCAAGTTTTTTTGCAGCAGCATTATTCAATTCCCCCGATACTATGCAAACAATTCGATAAGGTATTTCGAGTACTTTACAGTACTCTTCAGCATTTGCAACCATCTATAATTAAAATACTGAAAATTAAAAAATGACTCCAATAATTATCAATTGAACATGAATTACATCAATTTAGTTTGGTAACTGCTGTAATCGTTAAATTTAATAAGTCCGCAAAACAAAACAATGCTTAGCTTAATCATCCATATTCACTATAACATCTAATTCAAAACAATGACAACAATTTTCCAGAATGAAAATTCAAGAAGAATCAGAGCAATATATATACTTCATCTAGCATTTTCCAACTTTCACCATCATGTGGAGAACACAGGACAAATTGCTCAATTTTTTCAAACTGATGTACTCGGAAAATACCACGAGTATCTCGTCCATGACTACCAACCTAGAAAAATTTAAACAAATCATGGCAATTGTCTGACAAATATAAATATGATAGAAATGGACTCCCATTACTTCTTGGCGAAAGCAAGTCGATATGCCAGCATATTTAATAGGTAAATCAGCTTGATTAATCCACTCGTTTCGATGATAAGCCGCAATTGGTTGCTCGGATGTCGCTATCAAGTATTTTTCATCAACAAAATCACTTCCGTCAACTTCAGAATTCTTCCCAATCACCTAGAATAGAACTTTAAATTTTAACCTAAACACAGTTATTAGCTTTAATGAAAATACATGACATTTAATAATATTTTATTTAAAAACAAACCTTGTAAAGTTCTTCATCGAATTGGCTAAGCTGCGCAACTTCTTGCATCACTTCTTTACGCATGAAGAAGGGCGTGTAAAGCGGAATAAAACCTTTAGAGTGCAACATTTGCAACGCTAAATTGATAACTGCTTGTTCCAAAAATACCAATGGACCCTTAACAAGAGAAGGTGTGAGAATCGGAGAATTACGAACTTGAGAAATCTTTTTTTTTACACACAAAGTTTTAAATTACTTTTAGAAAATAGCCACGACCACCAGCGACAGATGTACCGCGATCACCATCGAAGCCATCTATCATAATACTAAGATCTATCTAAATTATAAAACATAAAGAACTGCAAGAAAATAAAGACGACATGTGAACGTTTACTAGTAAGTGTAATAATGACGGCAAAATTAAAAAACTTGATCCACATCAACTTACATGGGAATATTTTTTCTTGGTTTCTATGTCGCCAAACACTCTCTCTACCCTATTATTATTTTCATCATTGCTAACAGGTACCGAAGGATGTACAATATTTCCAATCTGTGCAAGCGTTTGATTACGAGATGTTTCATGTTTCAACATTGCTATTTTCGTCTCTGTAAGCTTCGCATCAATTGTTTCTTTTAACTTTTTGATCTGCACGACATCCAGTTTCTGCAAGTGTGAATAAAATTAAATAAGTTCATAAATAACTCAGAAGATACCATGATTATCGGTAAGGCACACAAAGTTACACTTGAACCAGTAATAATTCTATATAACTGACCTTTATATCATCAATATTTAATGTTTCCAAGTGTTTCAAATAATCATCCGGCACAATATTATCTTTCCCCACAGGTTCTTTTTTCTAAAAATGTCACATTTAATAAAAAAATCCTTGTTTAATGTATATGAAAGTAGAAAGTAAGAGAGACAAAGCACCTTCATTTTCTCTCCAATAGTTTTACTGCACACATTGATTAATCTGTTGAAATTGTCAGCACAAAATCGATCTGAAAGTATAACAAAACATAAAAACCGAATAAGTTTATATAAACAAATCATAATAACCCTGTATTTGCCTCGTACCACATTTACAGAAAATATCCGTTCATTCTAAAACTTATTAGATATCGAACATTTTACTTTTGAAAGGACTCTAGTAACCAATGACATAAAAAATAGAGAAAAAGACTAAAATTTAATGTTTCTACATGTTCCAAACCCCCATCCAGTACAGTAATATCTTTATGAGAAAATCGTTTCACTTTGAATTTTAGCACAGAAACGAAATACGATTCAAAAATGACTCCTCTCCGAGTTTCATAGACATGCAAGTGAAATGTTAGCACAGAGGAAGACTAAATTTTTTTTAGCACTTGAAATGTAATTAAATTTTCGGTTCTTTGTGATCTTGAAGCGTTTACCCTTGAATTTTAATGAAAATAGCAGTTATAGACGCAAAACAACGCACAAAATCATACAACTTATAATCGTTAATACGCTTTCTTAATCCGAATGATGGACCCGATATTCTCCTCACATATCATTATTATATAACTCAAATATTTATCGACTTTAACACTGAAATACTGATGAATCCAAATTTATGAGTTTTTATCACGGATTGTTCAGGATGTGATAAAAAATTTTACGAAGTAATTAACCTTTCCTCCAGCGTTGATCCAAATCTATTACATCATCAACCAATTTCACTTCTTCATACCGTTTCCGTTGTGAATCTCTGACCACATCTGGATCACCACCTTTTTCTACACGAAACAAATCAATGTCCAAAACCATCCCACGAAATGAGTGACCACTTCCACTCAAAGTTGGTCTAAAATAATACCATAAGTTTGTATAACATTCCTCATACCAACAAAACCAAAGTTAATGTGAAGTAATCGTGTTCTTAATAACGAGTAACAATATCTAATGCAGTTTAACTAGTGCTATTTTTGAATATCAAAACTTGAAAAATTCTGTAATAAAACTCAAACTTCGGAATAGATAAAGCAAAAATAAAGTTAATGACTTCGTCAAACATAAACAGGTATATCACCTAGAGACTGTCTTAATTCATACAAAAAGATCCACTTTGAAATGACGAAATTAATCCTGCTATTCTTCCACTAAAATAATTATCACGCAGTGTATCCAACTGAACCAACCATTACCGTAAGACATAGTTTCACGACACCCCACTTGTGTCACTAATTGTTTGGTCTGACTTTTTTTTAATGGAATAATGTGAGAAAATAGGGCTGGTCAACTTTTCCATAATTGTTCATCCATTGAGTCGCTGAGACTGCGATTTCTTGTAACCTGCGGGCACTTTACAGACGTCGATGAATCGAAAAGCATATCAAAATGTGGATAAAGAATTTTATTATACATATGTTTGCAGTTTATCAACATATTGAACAAAATTCTCGAGGCTTTTATTCAAAGTGGGATGATGACAATAAAATTTAATTAAATTTTATTGTCTTCTAGTCAAAATAATTCGCGAATGGCAGCACTATGTTCTTCCAATAATGAGACTTTGACCATAACGCAGATTGTCACCCGCGTGGATTGCAAAATGAACAGTTGGAGGAGCTTCAAATATCTGCAAGCATGTTGCGTCAGTACTGAAGATGACATCTAAGAAATGGGACCGGATTTTTTTTTCCAGTAAAGTATGAAGAGTACATGGCAATCTTGTCAAAAGCTGACAAACTATTTTAGACCTTGTAGTGCAGACCTAAATCAAAAAATTGGAAGGAATAGCGTCACATGTGTACTTTAGCTCAAGCGTCTTGCTTAATTCATGATGGAAGTTGGTAATGAATTGAGCGAATACAGTACAAAGAAATAATTAACAATAGAAAACAAAGACTCACCAAGACGATCGTCGATCCCAGTCTAAATTCCCCTACCTTATCTCCCGGTCGATACTTGTATTCCAACTCCGTAGATGTCTGTGTCGGTTCTTTTAATTCCTTTCGTATCCGTTTAACATTAGTATGCAGCAGTGGATCCTGAAAAGGGAGTAATTGGTAGGGCTACGAACTACGAAATTGTTCAGTGATATTAAAAAGTTGCTAGATAAATGCTGGTTGATTTCAGTCAGTCAAGTCCGCTCCAGGATTTTTAAGCATTTTACAAAAGTTCCTAGAATTGCTTCTTAAAAATATAGATTATGGCTAAAACAAGGTAAAGAATCATGATACTGCTTCTATTGAGATATCCCCAACATTTGTAGCCGCAACTGCGCTCATTGAAAAAAAACCATGTTTCCATGAGCCTTTCAGAACGACTCGTTCATTGATGCAAAACACATGAGGCAGACGTTTTAGAAGTGTTGGTCTCACAGACAAGAGCAATCCTGTAAATGTAGCAGTGCATTTATATATAAGAGTGAATACTCAATGAGAGCATCGGATGCTTTTCATGAAAAAAAGTATTCACATATGTACCTGGGAAATGTATTTCTTGAGTAGCCAACCAATTTGCAGGCGCATGAAATCCATGATAATTGCCCGGAGCGAGATAAAGAACCATTTGATAAAGCTCATATCCTTTCTGTAATGAGTAAGCCATAAAATTTTACTTTAAAATAATATTAACAAAAAGCAAACAGGCATTTCAAAAATTCCTCCCAAAAACACCCCAATAACAAGTACTGTAAAACAAAAAAAAAAACTTTTCTGTTTTTTATTTCTACAGGTCCAAGAAAATCAACAATATCGTAATCATGGCCTTTGACAAATTCAATACGTCCCTCATTCACTTTCCCGTAATGAATAACAACTGCATCAGCTGGAGAAACCTAAAAAATTAAAATCACATGTAAAAAATTGAAAATTTTCAACAGTAAATGTCTGAAAATGATAGTTAAGGAGTGAAACAGGAAAGTTAGTGAATGAAAAAAACACTTTTGAAAACAATAGACTGAATCTGATTTACTGTCTGGTTTCATTTCAGGGTCTAACTAATGATTAAAAAATAAAACTTTGATGAAAACAACAGACTAGATCTGAGTCGCTGACTGGTCTCAATCTTGGCTTCAGTGAACGATTAAAAAAGGCTGCTAGCGTTGGATAAGCCGATAAATCTTCCACTTCGGCTTCGTCCATTCGACAATCGTAAGCTCGAACATACATACCTTTATACACGATACTTTTAGTTAATAAAATTAAATTCTCACATTTCGTTTTGGTAAACAAAATTTCACTTTGTGAGTAATGAACTGTTACAATAACTCTTGCACTAATGTAATTTAAAATCCTTTTTTTTCCATAAAGTGAAATAAGTTGCTACTGAAACAAAGTTTATCATTCATATTTACTGACTCAACTTTTTCCGAACAATAAAAATCAACAATTTTTACTGATCTTTTAATCCCACAAATACTATCTTGATGCTGATTTTTTCAACTCATATAATACAGTTTTTACAGGATTGAAGGAACAAAATATTATATATTATTACACATAAAGCAGAAAAATGTGTCAGTTCTCGAGAACCAATTTTGATTATACATGAAAGACAAACCAAACAACTTCCGTCGTAAACACACGGGTATATAGACATTAGCTAGGTAACCAGCAAATCGTGAGAAGGCATTTAGTGGGAGAGAGCAATAAGCTCTGAGCTGAAATAATTTTCAAATTTTATTATTATAATATCATTTATAACACTGAAAACAGTATGTACACGAAATAATGCAAGATAAACATCTGAAAGACGTAATGCGTCAAAAAGCAACAATAACTGAGTTTTCTAAAACAGCCCAGTGAATTTTTCATAACTGGAAAATAAAGATTTCAAAGCATAAATTTATTGATGCATATTTGTCTTAATTTATTAATTCTTAACTGCTTTCTTACACAACAAAAAGTTCCAACTTTAACCGATTAATACTTTTTTAAGTAAATCACTAACAATATCAACTTCTTAAACAATATAAAAAATTCTGAACTGATTAGGCACTCCCGTCAAATTGATAGCAAAAGCTCGTGAGAGCCACGAGCTTTTGCTATCAATTTGACCAAGCTATCAAGAGATACTTTTACCTTCCAATCAGAATAATAGTGCTTTTCATCTTGAAGCTCTCGCCAGTCCGGAGCAAACACATTGTATAAATAGATAGAACCGCTTCCAGCGACAATACTGACTGCTACCCACTTTATTAACTTGGAAAACTGGAAATTAGATGTTGAGGGACTGCTTCCACCACAAATGGCCTTCCCAGTTGTATAAGTCTAAAATGAATACACTCTATACTCCGGAACTGCAATATTGGAAAAGAAAAATTCAGTAAGTGCTGCTTACTCGACCAAGTATAAACTTGTAAGATTACTATTGGAGTAGCGCTTGCTCATATCAGTTAAAATAAAAAACATTTTTGCAAGACAAAAAAATTGCGAAAATTGCGATTATTTCTAGATACAACAAAAGTAATCTTCGGCAAAACCCACATGTCCCATGCAAGACGCCCAAATTTTTTTCCATACATTTACAAGTCTTTGTCCCTGATTCATCCATACAACTCAAAATTATATACGAAATGCTTTACAGACCAATATAGCAGGTACAAAGTACCTCAACTTTATTTACAGCTATATAAACCACCAGATACCTTGATTTCAAACTTTTTCTGAACATGAACGAACTTTAGAATGAAAGGCTTGCGCATACTGGTACAGACCCATCGCACTGCTATGGATGACATCAAATGTGAAGGTTCGAAAAATCCTCAAAATTAAATGGCTTGTAAATGCTTACCGTTCATCACAATCTTCTTTAAACATTACTAAATAAGTCTGAAACATCCCACCCAATATCAATCAGCTATATTGATTCTTCGAATTTAAATATAAGACGTTTCACAAAGATAAATTTTCAAAAAAGCATATACCAATGAGTCAACTTTATTTATTCTGCACAAATTAAGAAAAAACAATAACAACAACGTTATCCGTTTCCTGTATACAACTTCCGAAAGTGAGAAAAAGTATCATACACATTCTCCATAAATAGCAGATCTAAGGGCTGCTAATGCAATTGGAATGGCTTCTTCTGTTCGAATAGTTCGGCTTCCTTGCCCTGGGACAACATTTAAGTAATATTCGAAAAGTTCTTCAGGATTTGAAAATTTGATACTGTCATCAGCTTTCATAGCTGCCTCTAAACCTTCTAAGCCTCCAAAAACCAATAAAACACGACTGAAAAATGATACAAAAATCTACTGCTGAACTAATCAGTTAATGACACATGATCTCATTGCATTTGTTCAACAAAAAAAAATGAAAAAGATCTTTACAGCAATAAAACACTAAGTCAAATAAATAATGCAAATCATACTTTGAAATGACGAACATAATAAAAAACTTACTTTTTGTCAGAGACTGGCATTTCAAACTGACTAGCTGGCTTTCCTCTTTCTGATGTTCCGATAATGACATCATACTTCTCACTATTTAAGGCATCTGAAAGACTTGAAGCAATGCGCACATGATATCCCCAATATATCCCTGCTTCTTCTTTAATTTGCTGGGAAGTCACTAAACATCCTCGATATCGTTTTCTTTCTAAATGTTTATAATGCCATCATTATTACTAAATTTCCGCACTTTCAAAAACCCTAGATTTGCAGAATTTTGTTCCAAAGCATTTATTTCAAAACAGTGTTACCATGAGACTAACGAAAAAACCGTCATTATCTCTAGTCCCTTACAACTGAAATTTTCCAGCTGCATACTAGCATTAAGTCTAAATTTTTGACGACATGAAATCTGCAAGTAAATCAAATGCTCGATCTTTATTCACAGCATATTACGGATGAATACTTCTTTGCCCACTGATGAGACAAATGACCAATTTTACTCGAAGCGACTAAACAAACAAAATACGATACCTGAGTACATATTTGATACTTTAACAGTGACACGAGTTCCAGGCTCGAGAGTGACTTCTTCATTAATTTGAACTTCCTAAATCAAAAACATTAAAATGTTTATTTCCAAGCAAAGATGAGTGAAATATCTGAAAAAATCTCTGAACCTCACTTACATAAAACATAATTAATGAACAATGAAAAACAATTTTAAATATGACCAATACATTTGCAAATTTTTTCTGCAAAATACCTTATATAAACCAATGTCACACAGAGGCCCACAACCTGCTTTTGCTGGTTTGTCTAAGACAACACCTTCTCTGTACGGTATACTCAAATCTGACGCACGTAAATGATGAGGACAATCCAGCGGATTCAAAATACCTAAAACATGTAATATAAATTATAGCATCATAACTATGCAAGTTTAAAACAAACAGCTTTGAAAAATGTTCATAGCACCTACCAGCAAATCTTAACGCTTTTTGAAGAGGAAATAAAGTTTTCCGTAAATATTGTGGACACTCCATAAATTCTAAAATTCTTGCCATATGGAAATTACATTCCACATTATCGTTCCGCATGGAAAAATTTGGTTGCCACTGTCTATTATAATAATTTTCACGCTCTCTAAAATTAAAAACACTTTTAAACATTTATATCTTTTTTCTAAACGTAAGTGAAGAACAATTTAGAGAGATAAAGACTTAATAACAATAAATAAACCAACTGAGGTTTCATTCGAGCCATTTCATCATAAACAACTATTTCTTCGACGCAAAAAACTGCAGCTGCCCGTGCTATCTGAGATTCAATTTTTCAATAACATTAAGATATTTTTTCCATCTAATTTTCGCATTAACAAAGTAAATGTTTGAAAAATGAATCTGCTATAAGTCTATGTACCCATTCTCTTTTCTTCATGAATTTCAAAAAAATACATGCATTCCTCATACAAAAAATCTCAAGAGTACGTATAACTAATTGCTGTGCATAATAATGATCAGCACCAATAAATCACAATTTAATTTTGAATACATACCTTCGTGAGATACATCATAACTTTGACTCAGGAATTTGAAGGACTATGATATTGCAAGCTTTTTTGATACGTGTTACAATCAGAAAGTAAATTTACCTGTCCTACAAGATATGTCCTTAGTTCTGGACCTTGCGCGTTATTCAGTATTGACCCAGGTAAGGCGATGCTAAGTCTCACAGATTTTCCTCAAAAAATTTGTTGAGATAAATTTGATTTTGATTTAACAAACAAACATAATGGCAAAAATGATACTTTTATTTTGAAGAGTTAATTACTAAAAAGTTTGTACTTGCAATCCTAAAAAATTATGGATTAGAACTTCACTTTTCTTTGAAACAGAAAACACAGATGCAATGTGCTGAATTATTTAAATGTGCTTTTTGTGATCAATTCCAATAGGATTCAAAACTACAACATTAAGTTAAATGACAAAAGTAATAAGTAGGAAAGTTAACAAAACTTGACTGTCGTCTTATAGCACTAACTATTATTTGTTGAGCGCGCATCCATCGCATCATGGACGTCATTTGCAGTCGCATCGACGTCATTTGCATTCGCATCATCGAGTTTAGGTTTTTTAATCAGCTGTTCCAATAAAAGTTCTTCGCGAAACTGTTTCCTTGCAGCTTTTACTAAATTTTTATGAGCATCTCAAAACAGTTCATCTAAAATTTCGTATCATAAAGAAAAAAAACTAAAAATTTAAAATTTCCAGTTTAAACTTATGTTTTCATTGCGCTGCATTTAAGAGCAAGTGTCTCTAGTTTTAACTCAGAAAATTAATAGTTTCTGACTTCTAAAATCAATCTTTTTTCACAGTTTGATTTAAGTAATTTTTGCATAAATAGTTGCACACACTGAAGTAAATACCGAAAAACACTTACTTTTCCGCCACGACAATTGATTCCCTTTTTTATGAATGCTTCTTCCCCCTTTTCGATTTTTGTTCCACATTCTATCACTGCCATTTGTCTTAATCATTCGAGTAGTTTGGCAATTAGCTGAGAAAAATTGCAAATCAGTTTTTACACAAGCATATCAATAAAACTGAACGTGAAGTGATCACAAGGACGTACGAAGAAGGAGAAAGCAATACTTCTTGACTGCCTCGTAAAATATGACGTGAATATTTCTTCATCACAACTTTTGCACATACAAACTGCCTAATCCTAGTATCTTCCAATTGCTTATCAGAAAGACTTGAAATTTCGTTCACGAAACAACGGCCAACCGCAGAATAGTAAGACTGAGGAAGGTCAAGTGAAGTGAACGTAGCAACGAGAGTATCGTGTGCATGCAAACTTGTTTGGCGGGCTGGGAGCTTTTGTTGCGAGAACTGTTCAGCGAGTGAAGGATGGACTGGAGACATAGAGCAAACTAATGAAACATATTTACATAGAGGTCAAGTGTTGTGCAGCTGTAATTACTTCCTACAATTTTCCATATAAATTGAGACAAACTTGCATGTTCAAAATCATTTGATGAAAGGTTAGCGCATATTGGTTGCTTTTCGTTTGCATTTAATTTTGCTCGGAAATTACGGTATATTTACCCAAAGGTTAGGTATCATTCAGTCTTTCGTGGTAAGTGTACTTAAGTGCAAGCATTTGTATGGGTCACGTTTTCATATTTGCGATGGTATCGCTAGAAATTTCATGAGTAATTAATACCAGTATTTATCGATCATTATCCAGCTCTAAAAGATTTGAAGTAAAGCACTCAAAATTTTTGGAAATTGTTTTTACTTAAGATCACAAAGCAGCTAAAGAAATGAATATACCTCCGTGCATGAGTAATGACCGTTTTATTTGGACGACAGATGAACCCGACGTGGAGCTAATAGAACCTGAAATTTTAGCATCAATCGATAAAAATTGGTTGATATTTGGTTTACAGGTCATCTGAATTACCTATGACATCTTAAATACTAAAATGACAACGTTGAGCTCTTTTGGTCAACCCTTAAGTATCCTCAGGAATGAATTAAATGACCAAAATAAAAAATGAAATGAGAGCAAGAATTCTCTCAACAAATATGCTACTATTAGTAATTGTTTTATGCAGATGTTGGGTAAATTCTTGTTTCCACACACACAATAATCTGAATCTAGCATTGCTTACTATAAGCATAGGGAAAGTGTATTACTTATATAATAAATATTTGTTCAGAAAGACTGTCCGCCCCAATCTCATACTTTCACGTTATATAACCACGGAGATCATCCAATTGCTTTCAATATTTCAACTAGCGATAATTATGCATATTTTCTATCCCAAGTATAGTGCAGTTCCACTCACTTTAACTTAATTAATTCTCACGGCATTTACTTAATTGAGATGCTCACTGAATCACTTTTACTTTCTCTCTTATAAGAATATTTGCAAGTTATAGTAATGAAAAAGACAACACGTTTCGTCACTTCACATTTGTATAATTTTAAGCTAAAACTTTTTATACTGAGACTATAATCAAAAAGAACGTAAAGTGTGAAGCACAACAGCAGAAATCTTCATGAACTTCAAGAATCTCCTCGATATTTATCTCGATTTTTCCTTAGTAGTCCAATCACAGGTGCAAGGCGTTATTTTTGGTCGTCAACTTCACGCTCTGCCATTTGTTCGAACCACAAACTCGACTACAATAACTGTTTATCGAAGACCTACGAATGCATTTAAAATGGACGACGATTATCCTTACATCAAAAGAACTTCATTGTTTATTTTCATTTTTTTCATATATTTTGATTTATTGCAATGCTTTGCCCTAATTTAAACTATTGAACTGGAAAAATTTAAACAAGTTTCCAAATGAGAATAACTTTAACTTTTGAAAATTTAATCCGTTTAATATTTATAAACATTTTTCAGCCCTCGGAAAGACCGTTTATTCATTTATTTGGCGCCTGTTTTCCACTGGAAAACTGAACCGACTTCTGTTTTCAACCATACAATGCCATATGAGAAACTACGAATTTGTTTGTATTACACAGCTCAACACAGTACAGATGAAAGATGTAATTAATTTATAAATATGTTCAAATTAGAAGCAAACAGGCACTCATTCAAGTTTTTGAAAAAAAAGACTGATAATTCAAAATAAACTGCACAATTCAACATTTTCTTTTTGAAATCAAAATCAAAGTACGGAAAGTATATACAAACAAAGCAAAGTTTTCTATATTGCAGTAAACTTCTCGTTGCATCAACGATATTCTGGATGGAATACGTGGCAGTCACGTTCACAAAATCGACACAACGATATACTTTGAACTATTACCATAGTAATATTTTATGAAAGCTTTGTGTGCATTTCTGTACATTTGGGTAGTCATATTTTATGCATATTTCTTTTGTATTACAGCGTAAAATAATATGAATAAATTCATTCCATCCTTTCTATCTTCTTGCATCTACTTAACTTTAGTTACTTTTGATGTTTCATTGCTATACGCACAGCTTTTGGCGTTGGCTTAAACACCTAAAAGCAATGTAATATCTCTTTCACGTGAAGTGTACTTCTCGAGAAACATGTTTTAGACACTTTTTTCATTAATATATTAAACGTTAATATGTCATTAATAACTTTATATCTGTGTTATTGCATTTTCCAGGTTTTATTGTAAAAACTTGACAGCAAGTACTATGTACTTATTTCATTATTAATTGAACGGATAATTTAGATTGTATAGTTATAGCTCTTAATCTTTGCTTATTCTTTTTTTTCACGCAATCAGGTAATCATAACAAGAACAAAATTTACATGAAATGAACAGCTTAAATCTTCGCTAACATTCATCGTAGCAGCTGCATTATCAAATTCACCACAGTAATGAGGTGCAGAAAAGATGGTGACTAACTGACGATTTGCAGCAAATTCATATCCATCTTGCACCACCTCAACAAGATTAAAATAATCCTCTTTCAAGACTAACATTTTAGAAGCTGTCAAGTATAATATTAGATGAACCTGGTGTGCTCGAGCAATCAAGTCGATGTTCAGTTTCTCGCAAAAATATGTCACAATATCAGCACCAAAAACATATGAAATACCTCTGGCATTTGGATGCCAACCAAATACTCCATCATCTGGATCTGACCTATAACCTTGCGCAATCATTTCTATGACATTCTCTTGCTCCCTTTCTATATAACGTTCAAAATAACAAATCTATTTATTGTGATTTATTGTGACACCGAAAAAGTTGTTCAACCCGTTTATCCAACTTTTATTGCAAAAAATGAATAGAAACTGAGAAACTGTAATCACAAAAGTTTTTAAAAGTGAGTAAGATTCAGAAATTGATTTTCAGTATTAACCATAATATATCGAGTTCCATGGAGGGAGGTTGTGGGTCAGATGGACGTTGGATATTGCGCAGTGAATGCAAATCTTCTAATTTTGGTGATAACCCGCCATGCATGCACAATATTTTACTACCAATAGTAGCTGCATATGGTAAATAGTTGAATACATCCTACAATGTTTTTCGTTTCTTTTGTTAATGCTATAAAACTGTCTCTTCAACTACAACAGATAATTTTGAGCCTAGATCATTTTTAAAGACATATATTTGAGAGAACTGTCATCATTTTTAAAGGCATATATTTGAGAATAACCTATCATATTATCAAATTTGATATGGAAGTAGCTAATTTCTACTAATATCAATGCTTATTTAAGTCAAGAAATTAATTCTAGCACCTGAAATTTAGCCCAGAGACGAACTGAGCGATACCGACGATTAATCTCTTCATAAAATCCATACACTCGGTTAATTCCATAACATTCATGGTTTCCTACGAATGAATTATTATATCACTTAAGCAACTATTGCAATGAAAAGTTTAAGACAGATTTAAAGACAGAGTTTTTCTTTGTTTTAAAAATACTATTCAAATGAAGATAACAGTAATAAATAAACAAGTATCTCAAACTGTTTAACTGATACAATTTAGAAACAATCTCAAAATCAGCCTATGCTTTACTGCTCACAATTGTAGTAAAGATTTTTCAATGAGAATCGCAAATAAAGTAGAGAAGGTAAGTGATGTATGGGACGGCACCTCGCAACATAAAAAAGTTCTCATGATACTTTATTTTAAAGCAGAATAGCAAGCAAACTGTCTCTATTGATTGCTTGCCCCGATCAACGTAATCTCCGAGGAAAAGATAATTTGCCTCTGGAGGAAATCCAGACTTGTCAAAAATCCGGAGCAAATCACTGTACTGAAAATTTTTATCGCTTAAAATCTAAATTTATTAGTTTAGTAAATTGCCTTTGACGATGCTTTCTTTCTTGGCTACAGTGCAGCTAATCTAAATCAGAAATACGAAGACTGAAAAGGTCTTAATTTATCGAAATCACAGTTAGTTAAAAACAATTCTAAATTGTTGCTGATTTCATATTTTGCTGAAAAAGTTATTTTTGCTAGAATGAAGTTTGCCTGAAATATCGTAATAAAAAAGTTCTAATGACAGGGGTCAAACCTGTCCATGAATATCGCCACAAACAATTACAGGAGGATCGATTTCAATTAGAGTACCTTGACTTTGTAAGGCAGTTTTGGCTTCGTCAAGTAATGCTAATAACTCTTCCTCTTTTATCTATAAAATTGCTGGAAGCAGGTAACCATTTTTGACCTGATCTATTCTAAACTGCTTGTAAAGTTTGGAGGAGTTACAGGGTCATAATGAAGAAACTCTTTGCATTTGCATATAAGGATATAAAATAGTATTTAGTCTTGCAAGAAGAAACATGTTTTTATCAGATATGAATTGAGCTTCTTCGTAAGACAAGAAAAATTACTTCAGTGCTAACTATTGATAAACTAATTAGATTTGGCTTTCACCAATGCTTAGATGAACGGAACTAACTACTAAAATACACAACACTTTAGTGAGCAAATTAATCTTTTACAGTAACTGCAATGTAGCTGGCGTGAATGGATAAGAAATTCAAATACTTTTCTCCTTAAATGCGTTCCTTTTTGTAGGCCTGCATTTAGCAATCGGATGGTCAGGTCATGTATCAATGCTTGTGTCGGATTAACAGGTCTCGTTTTCGACACATTCATCTTCAACAAAACTTTAGTGAACTAAACTCAATAGATCATTCCAGTTTGATTCGTACTTTACCTAACACAAAGTATAAATTTCAGAAAAATGAATAAAAAATTTAGACAATAGCTGAAGGATGCAAATAAAGTAGTAAGAAATACAATATTGCATTATTTTATACAGTACCATTGCAGTTCTTAAGGAATCCTCTCCTCCGCGAAAATTCCTATCCATTTGCTCACGCAGAATCAAAATAAACAACTTACAAACCAAACAAGTCAACACTTGATATAATCATTGAAGTGAGCTAATATTCACCACTTTATTCTAATTATCGACGTATTTGCAGATGAAATTTGCATAATCTAAATTCTAAAAAAAATCTTCCCAGCATAAAACACATAGCATTTGCTGCTCCTTTTTAGCAGGAAGATAATTTGTAACTAATTTCAATCATCTGAAGTCAATAAGAAGAGAAATATATCTGATCATTTTAGTAAAATAATTTACTTGATGTAAGTCGTCCCGAATCCTACTTCTATTAAAACTTTATTTTTCCTTTATTTCAGAATATATTATCTAACCTTCGTTCATTGACTAATTACAGCTTTGTTCAGGTAAGTTTTGTCTGAGAATTTAGTAATGAACGACAATTTATGAACTTGGTTATTAATTTGACTTGTATACTGCAAACAACAAACACATGGAAACTATTGTTTAGACAAAATATTTACAATAACAGTATACATCGTAGAATTTTACAATGTAAAATGCTAAGCAAGCATAAAGAATGCAAATAACTGAAGTTTTAGTGACGCTGTCATTGTCATTGTAGCAAATCACAAAAGTAGTCCTCGTCCTGGAACTGAAACGCCAAATAGAGCAAAAATTCAAGACAAACGTTGTACTGTAAGTATCACTAACTTAAAATATCATTTTTAGCAAAAAGATTCTGAAAATTATTCAAATTTTATTAACTATTTAAAGCATACAAATACTTGAAATATTCAAGACTTGCCTCGTATTGTTCATCAAAAGCTGTCCAATTTTCTTCCATATCTGCGCCACTAAAATCTGATACACTTTTATCATATAGAGAATTACAGCTCGAACAACGTCGTAATTTTTCGATATCAGCAAACGGCACCAACTAAAAATGCCTCACAACTAATAATGACAGAAATTAAGCACAAATAAAAGTCACTAGAAAAAATTTCTACAGTGAATAATGTCACATTTGTAGTCTGTTCATTTTCTGTTTACTTGCTTATTTATTTACTGAACGAAATGAATACCTTTTTAGCTTTTACATCGTCCCAATTGATGCTTTTAAAAAAAGGATGACTTTTCAACATCTCAAAAGACTGTATTCTTCGTTGCAAATTTATATCCAAAAGCTTAAAAGAATAACTAATTTTTATCTTTTAATCATCAGTATTATTTCTAATCCTAACTTAAAATGTGCTTATAAATTTACTTCCAAATAATTAGTTTGTACTGGGAAAAACAAGTAAATAAGTAAATGAACAAACAAATGACCTTATTGAAAAGATCACCCAGTGTGGGCTCACAACATGGAGTATGATATCCATCGTATCTGCAACAATTAATCCCAGTTTAACTATAAGGAGGATTATAATCAACTATATACTTATGAAACTTCTACATCTACAAGAGCTAAATTAAAAAATCACAATTACTTAATAAGACAATTACCTAAGTTCAGTGTGCGAAGTGACGTCAGAATTAGGGAAAGGATAACAATTTGTATTCAAAATGTGAAGTAATACTCCGTACGACCACCAATCTACTTCTTTGCCATAAACTTCTCCCCTGGCTATTTCAGGTGCCATATACTATAACTCAGCAAAGAGTTCATTTTAGGTGACAAAAATTATCTCGAAAATAAATGACACTACTTTATTTATTTCATAAAACTGAAATGGAAGTACAAAAGTTTAAAGTAACAACTTTTCATAATTGACTTACGGACAAACTTTCGATTTCACGGCATTAAAATACTAAAGAAACATAAACTGTATTAAAACAAAAACCTGAAGTGTACCACAAATAGTTCTTGTTCGTTCTCCATTTATTAGCGTTTTTGATAAGCCAAAATCGACTATTTCAATGTGGCCGTCAAGATCAAGCACGATATTTTCCATTTTTAAATCTCGGTACACTATATTATTTCCGTGAATGTAATCTGAAACTCATGTATTTATCAACTCTTTCATTTGATATCGGCGAAAAGAATAGAATTTAAAATAAGCTAGTATGAAATGAAAATAAGAATGTGCACAAATCCGAACATCTTAACAAATAGACCCAAAATTTCATTCCATTTTCTTAATAAAAAATTCATGACCACATGTGAGATATACGACTTGAAATCTAAAATGTGTATCAAAAAAGTAATTATTAATCAAACTCTGTAATTCATTCCTTAACATTCAGCAAGCTTTACTGGCAATTTTTATTCCATATCTTGCTATGTTTCCAATTATATGTAAACAAAAACTTGAAAACTAAACAAAATAAATAACCAATTGCAAATGCAATTTCAGCAGCATATACCCTAAGCGTGTCTTCCGTGAAAGGCCCGTAATCACGCCATAATATAAACAAATCTCCATAACCCATTGCATATTGAAGAACCGTGAAAAGATGGGTTCTTGACTGCCAACTTGCGTAACACTTTGCAATGAAATCGCTATTTGAAAGACTCTTCTAGAAGTAATTTAGTAAATTATGGTAGAAATAAGAGCAACTAATATTAATTATAACTAAATAACCGATAAATTAGTAGTTAGCAAAATATGAGTATCGAAAACAAAAAATAATTGAAGATTTGATGACAGATTTGAAGGCTATTTAGTTAATTATCTCCTGGCAAAAAGTTGTTAAGACGTCCTGTAATTATAAAATAAACTTCTACATTTTGATACTTTAAGCAATTCAGTGCTAATTTCCAGTTTTTGTAGTGAAAAAATAGTCGCGAATAAAAGAACAGTTTGCTTGCAGCTCAACAAAGTTCAACAATTAATTTACTTTCATGTTCAACCTTTTGCAAAAAGAGTATGAAATAAATATTCAAAAATTGTGTGAATTAATTTAATCAAAATTGTAAAATGCCTTTTTGAGAGAAAATGAAGTATTTTAGTCTATTAAATAGGTCTATTTTTTGAGAGTTATCAATTGTGGAATTGTCGAAAGTTTTGAGTTAAATTTGGATTTGCTCTGGCAATCTACAGACACTCAATGCTATCATTAGATATAATCAAATACAGTTAGAATTTAGATTCATGAAGTGTAATATCAAAAAAAGAAGTTTGCTTACGTGGACAGAAGCTTCATGTTTGATTTGTTGAACTGCATTCCTAGCCAAAACCTCACTCTTCAATTGCTTTTTCATGGCAAAAAGTAAGCCCTGCTTGAGTTTCAAACTCACTCTGTACACTTTACCGAATGATCCATTTCCAATGCAGTTTAAAATCTGCAATCCTTACAAGTCCATAACTTTACGACTATTTTTTATTTCCGGAACAAGTTTTACGAACAAATCTTTGCAAATTTGTTAAGTTAAAACAAGTATCGTCCCTCATATTTTTTCATAATTAAATTTGAGTAATAAAGCAAGAATGCAAAAATTTTGCATTTTTTCAAATCAAAAGAGCAATTATGCATTGTAAAATTAATTCAGAAATAATTTACCAGGAAATCTTTTTCGGAGATATTTGACTTATTTGGAAACTCTGGCAAGAAAATAGCTTCTAACCAGGGTATCGGCCAAATACTCTTTCTGAGTGATCCCCGGCCCACTGTACTATAATTGCAAATATCCCAAAAAGGCAAATTATTCTTCATAATGCATATCATTTGGTTACCACTCTGATAACATAAACATATAAATGTCATAATTGTGCATGCGTAGTTTTTGAAGTATAAAATGCACAAAAAAACCTCTTTCGAATGTGTTCAGCGAAGTGGACGAACTTGCGACGGGGGGATTATTACTTTGTTCACATTCACTGCGCCTCACTGGTATTAAAGAAGACATGCTGTCACTAACTCGATGATAAAGTTCTTGGGCTAAAGTTGGAGCTGAGATTAAACTTAATCTTTTCAGCGAACAACTCAACGACAAGGCTTTCTCTTCCTAAAAGTATTAGCTATTTCTTAAGATTTATCCATTAAAGGATCAAGAAATTAATATATTACAAAGCAATTAGCCACTGTAGATTGTACATTATTTGAATTCTAATTTACTGTCTCACATTATTTGAATGGCATAAGAAACTTTTCACAATATTCAACACCTAAATTACAATCGATAACTTAATTATACAGAAATGACCTTCTTATTCAATCAAGTAAGAAGACGGCATACTTTTAGCTCTATTTTTTTCATCAGAACTGCGAATCATTTGTTATCCATATGAATAATCTGAACTGATAAGATCTCTAATGCAAATGTGCAACTTTCGTTGGGTCTACCAGCAAAAAAATTTTGCATACTAAATACTGAATGCTAAAGTTTTATAAATGTTTAAGGCAAACAGATTAAATTATTTTCTAGTAAATTTTATCATTAGTATCTTTCTCAAGAGTGGACAGTCTAAGATTTATTTTTGATGTTTTAACTGTTTAAACTTGAAAAGAAAATACAAAAGTACACAGGCCAATAACTGTCTAGAATTGGATTACAATCATTTACTGACTCTTTTATCTGAGCATCACTGGTGTCTGCTAGAAGCACAAAATGTCAATACTTGAAAATTAGCACAATAATTTGCTTATTTATTCACTGTTTTTTGAATATGGCGCACTTATTCATTCCATTTTTACATTTTTTTGCGTGCTTTTTTCGAAATTAAAAATTACTTGATTACGCGTAAATGAAATGAACGCGTGTTACGTTAAACTGAAAATCAGATTGGGAAGCAAGCGAGCGAAATGCATGAGAGATTAAAAAATATACAAGTGAAAATGTTTGATGTTAGCTGCAGATCAACGCGAAGAATGGTCAAAATAACATTTCTGAAATCTACACCGAAAATCGAAAGTGATATCTAATGATTTGGAAGGGTTGTTGACATGCAATGCACTCTCATACTTTCACTTTCACGCGCTCTCATCTCATATTTATTTACATAATTTCCACTAATAAAATATTATTACTCGATTAATTAGTTAGTTATATGAATAAAGTGATACCATTAAAACTCAAATTCTGCAAGGCTTATGTACATGCAGTAACTTTATAAACATGACTCACTGCTTGATTACATACACTTTAATTTAAATCTCATTAATTAGTCGCAGATTTAATTTTAGTTAGTAAAATTTAAAAAAATCACTATTCACTTAAGTTTTTGGAATTAAGATTGTTGGAAGAAAATTTTGAAAATAACACTGATTTTTAGCGAAAAAATTTTTGGACGAAAACTGGTTTATATTATAAAATGAAAAAATGAATTTGTGAGTTCTTGAAATTCATCAAAAATCCTCCCAAGTATCAATGTTATTCACAAGGCTAGCAATTATTACTTCAGTACAGAGTACCTTACCTGAGTACATGAGTACTCAATCAAGAATTTACCAATAATTTAAGTCAGGAAAAAAGTCGTACATCTGATACGTATCTAAAGCTGCAACATGTAGTAAGAAGTAGAAAACTACAACAAAAAATTCAACTACTCAACAGACAAAATAAATGAGTTGATTTGTTTTTGTCAAGGATGAACAAAATTGTGTAAATATGCAGCAAATATATACAAACATTTGTTTTTGGTTAAAAATACGAATTGAATGATTGATAAGGGCAAGGCAAGACAAGCTATTTCGGAAGTGATTAAAGTTAATAATTCTTTTTACAAAAGTTTTAAAATAAGTAATTGAATATTTCGTTGCTCAATCTTTAAATAATAAAACAATTCAAAATTTATGGGAAACGCTGTTATGAATTATAATAACGATAATAATTAATACTAATAACAACAATACTACTAATAATATTTTCTGCAAATAAGAAAGAACAAAAATAACCAGATTCTCCAGTGGTTGTATACTTCTTTGCAATTTGCCGAAATGCCTTGCACTTGACGTTGGTACACTGCTACACGAGCAGGAAAACATTCCTAAACAATAATTATTTCCCAGTTTGCTACAAAAATCAATTATGATAATATGAATATGAAATTAAGTAAAATCTAAAGAAAATTATTATCCTCCGAAGTTCTCCTTTCATGCAAATGCACTCATACTCACAACAAACATGTAAAATTGTGTAGCAGAATGAAATTTTATAGAATGCAGAGTTATTTTGAGGGAAAACATTTGAAAAAAAAAACACTCCAGAAATTCGGTATAAAACATTCTACACAACAAATCAATAGTGACTATTTTTTCTCGTCTTATCCACCGAATAAACTGAATTTCCAGAACGAGAGGAGACAAGCCAAAACTTTTTCATTTTAGATTGTAACAAGCGAACAAAAGAAGAATATTCTGAAGTTTTATGCATTCGTTGTCGCTTTGATTTGCTTTTTTCCTAAAAATACTATCAAAAACATCTGATTTCTTGCATTAATGAAAAAGATGCAGATTACAAACCTTCAAATTTTTCAATAATTTTATATGTTAAAGTCAATTTTTTGTTCTACGCGCCTTCTCCAGATTCACAAGCCCAATGAAATTAAGTTACTAATTTTTAGTATTTTGATATATATATTTAATATATACAACTTTCTTTTCAAATGAAATGTTTCCAAGAATTTTTTAGCTTTTGGAAAAGAATAGCAGTGTATGTAGACACAGATGGAAGTTTCATTTTGTCATTCATAAAATTACTCTCTTGCAAAGCAGCTTAATAGCATTCATGTCAAGCTTTAGCTATGTCTGAAACAAAATGAAGTTTTCCAATAATGTAAAAGTAGTAACCCACCTCAAGACCATCTCCATATCGCTTCCTTCCGTTTTCTGAATTCATCTACCGCTATGACGACAGACTTGCTGAAAATATTGAGAAGAAAAAAAATGTTTAAATGCCTTCAAAAACACTTTACCAGCATTGAAGTTGCTCGAAATTAAAATTACACACAAATAATCATTGTATTAAATGATGATTAATCATCTCACTAAGCAACAATTATAATTACTGCTCACTACATCAATTACAAACAATTACAACAATTACATCTCACTAAGCAACAATTATAATTACTGCTCACTATGATCTCGATTTTTCTATGTATTTAACTCTAAAAGTGTGACCTTTTTTGAGTCAGACTATATTTGAATATCATATTCTTAGAAATTAATTTGATAAAAGATTAAGGCCTTTTGAATGCATTGTTTATGGTATTACTTGAGTTTTCATGCAATCCAATCCAAAGTACTTCTGCCTATATGTAATAAATACTTCGTTATTTCTGACATTATCAAGAAATTATGGGAGCTAAACATTTTCGTTTCCTAATACTAATTCACTCTAAACCAAAATTAGGCGTAAACTAACAGGACTTCTTCATAAGGTGTGCTAGCTTCCAAGTGCAATAAACAACAGTCATACTCATGAATAACAACAGCAATTGTTTTCAAGACTTCTTGTTTACATTTTACATCTTCTGAATATAACTTCAAAAACACAGCAGCAGCAATAGAAAAATAGTTTATGAAAATATTTTCACATCCATCAAATTTTCATTTATACTACTTTCATCTTAAAAATTGCTTAGTTTTGTTGCTTCAATAAATAAATAAGAACATTTATATCTCCTAACTGATAAACGCTTCGGTCAAACACAATAGCGAAACACTTTTAGATTCTTTGAAAAAAATATAATCGTATAACGAGGAATTTCTCGACCTTTAAGGATCCATTTCCATACCTTGCCTCAAGTAAATGATGTACAAAAAATTATTAATCTGAAGCCGCAGAGGCGAGGTCATTAATTAAAATAAATGTCAACTGCAAATGATCAATAATGTCAAAAATCCTTTCCTTCATTCAGCAGTGATGACATCTATTGAGAATGAAATTAAAGCAAAACAAGTGCTGCTCATTCTGAGCATTAATTACTTCTTCAAGAATTTACGTGTTATATGAACATTAAAACAGTCATATAAACGAGAATTGTACTGTTTGTACCAGCCAGACTGGTACAAAGTAGAAATGCTAAGGTGACAATGCAAGCAATTACTCAATACACACGTAATTCATCAAGATTTATTGCAAGCTTGCAGTTAGCAATAATGCAGTCTTAACCTGAATGTGCATATCTAACGGTATTCCATTCCTTGCCGTTAATATCAACATAAAAATTTAACAGAATCATCAGGACCAATTTGTAGAGAATGCAATGATGTACTGCAGTTAGTAAACACGTTCAATGGTAATCCGCCCAAATCGGAATCGATCCCTCACTATGTCCCTCCCTCAAGAACCAGTGAGGGATCGATCCCACCCCAGTGCTACCTATATCCCTCCGACCTAATTCTTCTCCACTTCTTAGTTCTGTTTGACCTTGAATAAATGCACTGGACTGCTTGTTTCACATGGATTTCTCCACCCTTTACTTCACTTTCCATCCTTGCATTCATTTTACCTTATTGTAAATGCGAAGAAATTACTTCTAATGCACTAACCAAACAGCGTAAATAAAAATGTCTTCACATCTACTATCGAACTTTATGCAAACAAGGGATAAAATAAAAATAAGCAGAAATATCCCTCCCGGCTGTTGCAAACAGAGGGCATCAGCTACTATATTTCAATCTTAAAACCCTCCAACAACTGCAGCGCTACCGATTTCAAACAAATATTTTTATTAGGTTCATCAGCACACAATGAATATTTGTGGAATGCTTATAATACACATGGAATAATTGCAAAAAAAAATACCGATAAGACCAGAAAACATCATAACAAAACTATTAGAGCATCCCATACGGTGACTATTGGGCATCTTCATTGTTGCAACAATTGCGACAAATATATTTCTTGTTCTTATTTGCCTAAGTAATGCTCATCAGTGTAGCATGATGATGGAGCGGAATTTATGGCATATAGCATTCTGCTCTACTCGCTTACTTTAATTCAGCTGCTTGCACCAATCGAATTGAAAACTATACAACTCATCACATTGCTATTTCAGCACTCTAGCATCATCTACATACGATCACTAAGATCAGTTCTGTTTCTTAAGATTTCACTGATTACACTGCTTACAGAAAATCGAGATTTTCTGATTACACACTGAAAACTTAAGAAACAAAAATGGTCGATTTTATCAATGTTATGCAAAATGTATGAATAAGAAACAATCTGTTACAAATAAAAGTGCGAGATGGAACAATCCAGAAAGAACAGTACCTTGTCTTAGTTTTCAAATAAAACTTACCATTAATAGTACGTAAATCAGGACCTGACAAATGATCAAAAAGGAAGCGTAATAGATCCTGCTATGCAAATGGAAATCGGAGCGGAAATTGTCATTCCACGAAAATACCAAGTTTAATAATATTGCTAAGAAGCTTGGTAAAAAGCAAATATCAGTAACTTATTTACAAAAATTTGCAACCATCACATAAAGAAATATTTACTACAAAACGTAGGAAATAGATTTTTCAAACTTAACAATAACTTAGAATGTTTCAATTTCTTTATATAAAATGAAACATCGTTCTTACAAAAAGTCCAAACTATATTTATAATTGATGCAGCGCACTTCTTTTACTGAATAGCAGTTACTTCAAGAATTTTCAGTCACTACTGATGAAAGTTTTGCAAACATTAGACAAATATCAATTCCATAATTGAGAATCAAAATTACACATTTAAAATATTTTAAAAAAAAACTGCACAGACACTATTCCAACATAGAACAGATTTAGTTGGAAAACAGAATGATACTTTTCAGTTGCTATTGATGAACAAATCATCATCAGTCATTTTAAAAAATAGAGATACTATATCTAAAAAAATAACCTCAACTTATTACAAAACCAAATTTTACAGCATATTAAGAAGAGATTAAACTAAATATTAAACCACTCAATAAGTTTCAGTGTGTATCTAGTATTTCATGCACATCAAGCTTAACGTCCTCGATCTCAAAAATTTTGATTCCTTTTAGTGAAAAATGTAATAACTCTCTGAGTTTTTACAATGGATATTTAAATCAATAAAAATGAAGTCATCAATATGAACAATTTCTATTAATGCCCTTCACAAATATTTTGTAGAGTAGCAAACTTTATCTGTTACATTTCAGCTCTCCTCAACAACTACACAAAAATGTAATTTAGAAAAAAATTAAACATTAAATTAGTCATACGAGGAAGGAAAAAAAATACTATGAAAACTTCCATGACATACTTTATACTTCCTGAAAATAAAAAAAGGTTTCGAGGTATCTTTGGCAAACTTCAAATCAACATAATCAACAAATTCACGAAAAATTGCACAAATAACTATTGTTTGCATAGACTAAACTTAAAATATATAATATATGTACATATATTATTCACAAATAAACAACAAGCAATTGAGAATTCAAGAAAACACCAACTGAGAAAAAAACTTTCGAATTTAAAAATTTTTTGATAAAGAAAATAAACTTGACAAAAGACAACTGCGATAACCCGTAACCTAGCTGATCAAAGCCTTGATATGGTTTATTCAGGATTGATAACGAAGGCGGAAAGCGCGAACATAATAAAAACTATACCTCCAATTAATGTCACTGAAATAGATTTCTAGTACTTAACAACATAAATTTTTGTCCCGGAGATTCTAAATATATGTTATAAAAACTTAAGGATGCCTGAAATATGCTATAAAAGAGAAACATGTTTCTTGATTTATAAAGAAGAAAAATTCTTCAGAATTAAATAGCTTTGCACATTAAGTTAAAATAACATAAAAATTGAACTGACCAGTTCTGACAGATATTTGAGTTGCCACAAGTCTTCCACCTATTACAGCAATCCCTGTACATAGAGCATGCCCTAATATTGTGCCTAGTACCACACCATAAATGTTTTCACGAGCTGCTAACATTATAGTAGTCAACTGACTACGATCCCCCCACTCTGCCAGAAACGTAAGAGTGAAAGTTTCCACAAAAAGTGAAGACACGAAACTTAAAATCGCTTGGGCGGAACTGCAAGAGTATTTTTCAATATAAATACAGCGAATTTAATCAAATAGTAATGATAACAATAAAAGTGAGTCGTATCCCACAACTATTTTTCCAAATTAATCACTGTTCTTTAGCTAAGAACTTTTGAAATGTGAAAAAATATTATTTGTATACCTCATTAGTTTTTTGAACTTAATTAAGCATAAAATAAAGTATGAGAGGAAAAGAACGACGAAAGTAAACAAAATTATTTACTGTTGATCCTGTATATCTGGCCCTCCACTCTCTAAGTCAGAAATTTTTAAATCTAACAACAGATCTTTCTTTTGAATTTCAGTTTTTGCTTCTTCATATCCCTCTTGTTCATTAGTGGGAGACATTCGCCAGCCATCATATATCATTTTAATACCAAACAACGCAAAAAGAATTGTAGAAATATAATAAGTAAACAGTCTCGGTATAATCTGTGTAAGCCATCCCATTCCAGCTAGAATCATCCATATCATAAAACTTGTGAAAAGCTCAAAATTTTGATAACAATGACTAAAAAAGAAATTGAAAAATGCCTTTGACTTTGATTCAATATATACTTTAAATTTCTCAACACGTTCCGTTATGTATGCGAATACTTTGACATGCAACAGACCTTCTTATTAATTAGACTAAAATTCATTGAAAAAGTACCTGACAAAAGTGTCATCAAAATGAGAGCCGACATCGCTCCACAAAATACAGTTAGCCTGGAATGTCGCATTGCCATAATAGCAGCAATAAACCAAGTTTTATCGCCCAATTCAGATACTACAATAACAGAAACAGAAGCCAACAATGCTTGATAAAGTGTGAAATCCTGAAATCACTTGGTTAAAATAAAAATTGTTTATATGCACTAGCATTTGGAATATTCAGAAAAAACTCTTAATATGTCCTGATATTTCTTACTCATTTCATGCTCTTTTTTTCTGTTTTTAAGAATGATACTACGACAGAAATTTTTTGAAAGCACACTAAAACAGACAATCTATATTGGACATAACATCTAAGAAACTTTACAATTTTGAGATCACGAAGTGTTTCACGTAACGAAAGTTTCTTTGCATAAGAAAACGAAATTTACGAAAGATTTATGTTCCATCCGTTCAGTAGAGGCTTCTTCATGTTGTTTTTCAGAATTCCTCAACGGCGGAGCAGCTTGTTGATGAATTTCTTTTACCCAATTGGTCTGCAAACTTTACACTATAAACTTGCAACAACTAATCAAAAACAGTAATGGTTACCACGTTCTTAAATACACAACAAATTACAAACGTACGAAAAAACTACGACTCCGTATTTCCCACAGTAATTGGAGCATATAAAGCGAAAAAAATCATGCTCAACTAAACGTTCATAAATGATGAAACTAACTGATATTGAGTAATTATCATGATTGACGAAATCCCTTGTATCAGACGCGGCCACAGCAAATCTGCGTAGTGAACAACAGAATAATACTAATAGAAGGCTTTGAATATACAAGTAATTCATAATAAATAATATTTAAAAGATCAGTAACTATCTACAACGTTATTTTTTCAGCTGAAAAATCGTTATATATACTTTTCATTACAAAGCAAGTTAACTAAGGCATATTTGTGTCGAATGACTGCTACACTATGACAAACAATAACTTACAAACAGCCTGTAGCAATAATGATTTGGCAGAATATTACTAAAGTAAAAGATTACTCACTGCTCAAATAAATTACATTTATCCGGCCGAAATATTGAAGAAAACGTGCAATACAAGCATAATAATAATTTCTGTTTGCTAATGTTATTATCCACAATTCAATTCAGAAAGTTAACGGTCAATAATTCCATGGAACCTGGAATTTTTTCGAAAATATTTGAACAAACTCACACTAATTTAAGCAAACTTCAGAGAAGACTGTTTGAATGAAAGCTAATGGACACGTGTTTGATCCATTCTACGCCGATCAGTGAAATACTCTGCAGCTACAAACTTCTTTCCTCCCAATAACTCTATAACCTCTACATCTCTCGCATTTTCATTGTATTTTTCTCTTAGTGGTCATTTTGTAGCAAAATGTCACCTGCCGGAATTTTTCAAACGAAATAAATGCAGATTGTGAGCTACTATTTATTAGAGTCAAGATAAGAGTTTGAATGTATCTGATGCTTACCTAGGTTATTAATTTTTTCTGCACGTAATTATACTAGAATTATCAAATTTCATGATGTTTGGCCAGTGTCCTAAGAAATGTGAAAACTCATTTCGATTGTAATGGCTTGTAAAGGAAACAAATCAAGCTTATCAGTTTTCAGTAGTCTTTCCAATTTCTTTTTTTAAACGATTCTTGGACAAGGTAAAAAACTGCATCAGAAAAACTGTCATTCCCTAACTTCATGTATAAGTTTTCATTAATTATATCTGTCTTAACTTATTGAATGCCACTATGCGAATTTAATTTTGATATATTTGCAGTTGCGTGGAGCTGAATTATGGCCGTGAGGAACATATACACATCACGTGATGAAAGGCTGATGTGGGAGCATCTTTTTGAGTAACTATTAATTGTTCAAAAATGTTACTTTTAATAAACGAACTGTTAAGCCTACTAAATGGTGACAATTTTTGGCGAACAATATTTGATCATAAAGTTTGTGTACCATGTTATAAAGTTTTTTACTACCTTTGTTTATTATATTTCGAGATTAGATGATCTCGCGCAAACCATGGATGTAGGTAATTAGTTATGTTCATTGATGAATATAATCTTAAGTAATTAGGAAAATTTTGGCAGGAGTCTACAAGTTGGAGATAATGCAGCATACCAACCAAAGGGACTTACATTATGGAAGAAGTTTGAAGTTACTCAAAAAACGAACAAAACTGCTTCATCACTTGCTACCCAGTAATAATATTAATTCTGCATATTTCATCTCTTCGTATTTAAAAAAAAAAGTAATAATTGGAGTTTGTGTACCATGTTATAAAGTTTCATCAATGAACATAACTGTTAAATAAGTTTTTTATGTGAGATTGCTTGATAGATATGTCAAAAAAGTTTTTAATTACGTTTTTTTTAAAAAAAGATGAAGAAAAATTGGTTTGAATGTTTTCTTCAATTCGTATAAAATATTTTGCAGTTTTCGGAAGGTGATGTATGATCATATTGAAGACGCAAACTTAACTGTGGAACAACAGCTGTACATTGTAAATCAGCTCAATATACCTTTATCTAAACGTCAGCAAAGAGTGTATACATTTTTGATCTTGCATTACTTTTAATTAAGTTGGATTCCTAAATATGTTTATTTACTGATAATTCATTTAATTTCATGCCATAAGTCTATACACAAATCAGTAAATACTGTCGCAAAATTTTTTAATTAAAATTTATATCTACATGGAACTCAGAATTAGAAAATCATATGCTGTATACAATACTTTTGCATTTTGGATATTATGAATTCTAGGATGGAATACAAAGCAAATATATCAATATTTACAAACGACTTAGGCTATGTAACTTCGTATAAAAAAGAAGGTTATATTCTAGCATTTCAAGTTTTTGATCATACTTTATTTTATCTTCTTTGCTTGTACTTTCCATCTAGCTGTGATGCTTAGTTGTACTTTACAGAATTTCTGTCCAGAACTGGATGTACAAAGATAAGATTTTCAAAGTTTTTAATGCAAATTCGATTTTAATAAATTTAATAAGGAATTAAAATTTGTTGTTAACCTCTATTATTTATGATGAATTCCAAGATGAAAATAAGTGTTTTCGACAGTTTTTAGGAAAGCATTATATCCCTTCATTACTGAAACGAAAAATCCCTTCAGGTAATTTTTTCTTTGTGTCTCCTTTATCGATAGTGAGCTTTTTATTACTGTATTTTTCAAATATATTGGGAAGAAATCTTCTATAGTAGTCAGTAATGTATAAAACTTTTGTTTGGATTAAGGTTGTTAATGAGATAATAAGTAAAATTTTGAATTCTTGAAATTCATCCTTCAAAATCGAAAATTGAAATTTAGAACATCATTGATCATAATAGATGTTTCTGCGAATTCAACAAAAATTTTAGGAATTTCAGGAGATTATGAAATTGACGATGAATTAGTTTACGATGCATTTGAATTAAATGGCTAGTTTTAACAATACTTTGACAGATACAATCTAATTGTTGACTTTCATTGAAAACTGACTCCATTTTTTAAAAAACTGATATTTAGAATAATAATTGTATCTTGTTTTTAGGATCCATACTGAGTGCTCCAGAAGCTCCAAATATTGACAGAAATTATTCTGCTGAAGCATGTTCTGGGTATTCATTTACTTGGCTATAGTAATAGAGTAATTTTACTCACGTGATTCATATGTGTCTAGATATTATCATGTGCCATAATTTTTTTTAAGGAATTTATTCTCGGAATAAATCACTTGAATATTCAACAATTCTTGAGTAATTTCTTTCGTGTACTCTATTGTCTGAGTACAGGTTACCAAACTCGTATCAGATTTGAGTGTAAATTTATTCGCATAGCAAAATTATGAACAAAAAATAGCAGTGCATAATTTTTGGTAGCAATCTTTTTATATTGGTCCTGACTTATGATAAGCTCTTTTTATCTGTGCCTTAATTTTTTAATTTGTTTATAGGCATTATAATTTACGAAAAAGAACGATGTTTAGAAATACTTCATTAAGAAAGGATGAAAATTCGAGAACTGAGACTGAGAGTACAATTTTTGCGGAAAATGTAAGTTTGCTAGCTTAAGTATTCATTTCATATGGAATGATTATTTTCAATTATCCGATTTTTTTAGAGCATTATTTATGAAAGCGAAACAGGAAGTGGACATGTCAAAAACAGCCTACAAGAAGCTGTTGAAGGTATTGTCTATTTTTCCTGTCGTAATTATGAATATTTTGTTTTTATAGTTTTAGTGAATGAAAGTCACATCTGGTTCTAAATTCTAGTTTTTGTAGTTATTTTTGCTTTGCTGTTAAAGAATGTGAAATATTGATTTTAGCTGAGCAGATCATTCTTGATTCAGAGGAAGCAGAAAAATCAATATCAGAGCGAACATCTAATGACGTAAATAGAAGGAAATTTAGAGAACTGTCTTGTCATAAGGATAAGGAAACAAAAAATGAAGAGACAAGCAGGAGTAAAAATGCACTCTTGGCTGTTACTAAATTTAACACAAATTCAATAAATGGCGTGAAGAGGCCAAATTTAGAGAACAAACATGATCATGTAACACAGGACAAAACGAGGCAGTCAAGTCATGAATTTCCATCAGATCAACTTAAACAGTCGGAAATCGAGTCAAGAATTAGTTATTGCGTTCAAACTGTAGGCAGTTCGAAAATTAGTAATGTAAGTAATGAATGCAAATCTGGGCTACAAAAATTGGAAGAAGATACTAGAAATAATGCTGCCTGTATTAATATGTCATCATCAGTTACAAGTCCTGTAAGAAAGAATATGAAGTTGTTTGTTTTGGACAGCATTATTGAAAAGGAATTCAAAGAACTATTTGCATACATGGTGAAGAAGCAACAATTGAAAGGCGTTGAGGTTAAGTACTTCATTCGTTTATTATTTTTGTAGTAATCAGTATCGCAAGAATTGAAATAAGTTTATAATATTTTTTCAAGATTTATAGCACTTTTTTTTTAAAGTCATATTTGATGTAAGCATCCATCGTGTCGTTTCGAAATTTATTTTTTATGTAACTGAAATTGCTTGAAAAAAAAATTTGAGAGCTGATATGAAATTTCATTGCAGACAATTTGGTAAATACTTTTTTTGCTACAGTAAATAATTTTCATTCACGTGACTCATATGTGCCAGTATTTTATTATATGCCATAATTTTTTTCAAGGAATTTATTCTCGGATTAAATTTTGAAAAAATATTATAAACTACATGTTACAAAGCAGAAATTAACTGTTTTAAGTGTGAATTTATTTGCATAACAAAATTATGAACAAGTTATATATCGCATTTCTAGTAAAATGGTTCGTGTGCTGTCGTTTTCGACAATTAGTTTTCATCTATTTTTGTTCCTTTCAATTTAATTTCTTATAATTTTTTTTCAGAAAATGAAAGTTGAGAAAATGTTAGATCTACGCGCTAAAGAAGCACAGGAACTTGGGATTAGTTTAAGAGATTATCTTAAAAACTTACAGCTGCAAGATAAAAATGCGAATATTTAATTGTTTACTATGTACTCGATTCTGATCAAAGTTGGTTTTCGAGTACTACAAAAGCTGTAGCATACAAGAAATTATCGTAGAGCTTCGCTAACTTGAGTTTTGGTCTGTTACAGATTTCTTATGTGTCAAACGTGCGGCTCTCAGTAGAACAATTTTTCGAAGAAAGATTTTGGTTTTGCGTATATTTCATGACAAACTTTTTCACGGGATTTGTTTTTGGAGATGTCATAACACAGGAATAAACTTGGAACCTGCTGACTGCCTTTTAAAGTCAATTGTTATTGTAAAATTGTTTAAATAATTTTTAATGCAAACAAGGTTTTGAATCTTACGTTTTTCATTGATAATGATTAGAACTAGAGATTTCTCATATCTCATGAAAGTACTGAATATTTAGGAGGCCTATTGGAATTTTTTAATAGCTAGTTATAAACATTCCAGTCTTAATTGGTTTGCATTTTTTTGATACATTGTGTTAATCTGTTCACGCCATTGTGATTTTGTATATAATGCAGTGCATAAATATATTTCATCTATTTGCTATATTTAATCACAGAGGTCGTATGGTCATTACCTATCGAAGTATTTATAAATTTTACTGGAGAATGGGAATTGTTGATGAGTTCATCTTCAGGGTTTAAATTTGTGTTTCTATAGATGACTGACAAGATTATTGGTTCGACAAAGCAGCAACATTCAGATGACGTGGAGAGGGAGGTAAGGTGCAGCAGGCATATTTTTTGCTTGTTTATGGGAATTCATTCCTGCTAATTTTAAGGAATTTATTATTTTCTTAAAATTAATCGTACAGAAGTAGCATCAAGCATATATAATAACCATCATTATGAAAGTAGTGCTTCAGGTAATATTAAAAATACCGAACTTGGACATTGCGCAACTCCGTTTTTTAGTGTTTCATCCCGATATTGATCCAAAAGTAAAGCAGGAAAATAGTGCTAAACTTTTGGAAGTAAGTTTTTGAACTATTTGTGTTCATTGCACTTTCCTTCCACACTTATATTTACCGGTTTATATATTTACATTTTTTTGAAGTTAATCAAAGAGAATGAAATGGGGCCGTATTACAAACTAATATGTGCTGAAACTGGGACTGCTATGGATGAGGCTTTGTTCGAAGACTTGAAAAAGGCCAATGAAAAACGTCTTAAAGAAATGGATGACGAGATTGCAGATGCTGAACAGAACTTGGGTACCTTTAATGACTTGTTGAATTCAGTCCAACTGTTGTGCGAAATAATAGTTGCGAACGAACTATCGACTTATTTGCCATCCTTATTGATCGTACTTTTTGCAGGTGAAAGTGAAGTTCGTCAGGCATATTTACGAAAAAGTGAATATTTCTGTAAAATCGGTGATAAAGACGCTGCGGTTTCATCATTTAGACAAACATACGAAAAAACAGTTGGCATTGGATATAGGATTGATTTGATTTTTAATTTAATTAGACTTGGTCTTTTCTTCTTGGATCACCAGTTGATAAATGCAAATATTGCTAAAGCAAAAGACCTTATGGAACAGGTTCATAAACTTTCTGTTTTCACTTTTTCATTTTACACTTTATTCCATTAATCGGTAATAAAATTTTGTATTGATCAACAAAACAAGTTAATTAGGGTGGAGATTGGGAGCGTAAGAATCGTCTTCGATCTTATGAGGGCCTTTATAAAATGTCCATAAGAGAGATGAAAGGAGCCGCTGCGCTTTTTCTAGAAGCTGTACCAACTTTCGGTTCATACGAGCTGATGACTTATGAACAACTTGTGTTCTATACTGTCATTTCAGCTGTTTATGGTAAGTAACTTTTGACTTCCCATGTGCATGAATTGTCTTTGACTATTGAAGTATTGTATTGCTTTTGTAGCATTGGAGCGTCCAGATTTGCGCGCAAAAGTCATCAGATGCAATGAGATCCAAGAACAGGTGGGTCAAATTATCATGAGCTTATAATATTGTTTTGTGATAATAAAGTTGTCTCCCACATCTATGTTGGTTTTTGTTTTTTAATTTCACATTTTTTATAGTGTGTAGTAATCGAATTTTTATGAGAAAATGACCATGCATTTTATCTCATTTAGCTCAGTGGTGGTGGTGAAAATAGTGATTTAGTACCTGTAAAGCAATATTTGGAAGCCTTTTATGGATGCAGATACGATGAGCTATTTTTGGTGCTTGCAAAATTAGAAAGTGAACGGTTAAAATTCGACCGCTATTTAGCACCGCATTATAATTTTTACTCTAGAATGATGCGCCTTAAAGCTTATCAGCAGTTCCTCACACCTTATAAAACAGTGCGTTTAAACAAGGATTTTTTTTTGCTGAAAAATCAGAGAATTTAGAATGATTACTGAAGCTTTCTGAACACTGATCAAATAAGTCCGCATTGGTATGAGTTTCTAATGTATAAAATGTATATTATTTTTTTGAGGTTCGTTTGGATATGATGGCAAAAGACTTTGGAGTTTCAAAAGAATTTATTGACAAAGAATTACATCGACTTATCGCGGCTGGTCAGCTGCACTGCAAAATAGATGCTGTTAGAGGAATTATAATTATGAATCATCCTGACACTAAAAATCACCTCTATCGCAGCGTTATCAAGTAATTTATGCATGATTTGTATGTAGTTTATTTTTTCCATTGGTTTAGACAAGCATACTATTGTAATCGAAAATGAGATTGCTGTGTTGCAGAGATGGTGATATTCTACTCAATCGTATACAGAAGTTGGCGCGTGTAATTAATGCTTAAAGATCTGTGGGCCTCTTATCACTTTTCATTATGTGTTGAGTGTGTGCGCGCAAAAATACAAACTTTAATCAGTAGCTGTTCTGGAAAGCAGAAAGGTGATATAAAAATATTTCTGTGTAACTTCTAGTCATTTTAACGAGTTATGCAGTGCGTGATTAATAGTTGATTGGTCAGTTCTCTCACTTTTTAAATATTTTAAATATTAAGATGTAATAAAACATCCTTCGTTTGTCGTTTCCTCCGCCTTTCAGTATCTATGTATCATTTCCGAAAATGATAAACAATCGTGCAGTATGTTATATAATGTTATATGTGTTTACCTATAATATAGTAAGACTGAGTTTGGACTTTTTATGGCCGCGTGATATTGAAATTAACTAATTCGCGACTCATCACCAATTACACTCATTCACATCGTTATTACAATCGTACATTCGTACATCGTACTATCGAACATTCGTTATTACAATTTCAGCTTGCTAGTTCCGCAAAGGGATTATCTAACTATGGACTGCAAGAAAAAAAAATGATAATTACAGGATGATGGAGAAGTTCTGTTACTCATATTCATAAACTGTATGGTAATATATGCAAAAGGGGATAGTGTAGTGCGACCACCGCATGAGCACATAATTTATTCAGGATGCTTATTTAATAGTAACAGATTAATATATAGTTGGGATAGCTCATTGCATAATAAGACCGTAAAGTTATTGATTGAATCGCGCGGGAAGGGCATTTAAATAATGGTTTGACTTGATGATACATTATTATCCGCTACATTGTACCGACTAGCACTGTCCTTATTACTTGTCTTCTTTGCATGTTATTTGTTCAGAAATTTCATCGCTCTTCGAAGTTATTTTAATTTAGTTTATGAAAGGCGATTTCTAGACAAAAATTCATCTTCATAATTATAAATTAACATCGAATTATGTTCAGAAATCCGTTACTATATTGCCTTATGACGAGGAATAAAATTCATATATATGCAGCTCTGTTATCATTTATTTAAAGTGGTTATTGTAGAAGGGAATCATGCATTATTAGATATGTTTGAAGTTATTACAGCATGGATATTAATGAACCCAAAGGAGAAATAGGTCCGGATTACATTGGTGGCGAAAATAAAGAAGTTCATTATGGAATGCATTGTGATGGAAATCCATCACCTTCTTCTCATCCTGGAGAAAGTACAAAAAATTCGACAATAGATGATGAAGAAAACTTCGTACTAAACGATATTTTGGATGTTGAAAATGAACGAGAAATAGTTTGCCATGCAGAAAGTTGTGTCATGAAGCCATCACCTTGTGCAGAACTTGCGAGCAATATGCTAACACCTATAAAAGATGATAAAGAAAATGTTACGTCACAGGTGCTTTTTACTTTCTTTGCATCGTGATCCTAAATTTATGCTCATTCATAAGTTTGTTTTCTACTCTGTGTGATGCCTCTGAAACTCTTACTTTATAGGTAAACTCTCATTCTGCTGAACATCTCTCACGATCGCGACATCGCGGTAAGAAATCAGTGGAGCCAGTTCGCACTGAAACGTTTACTGGTATTTTTTGATGAAATATGATATTTTTTACTTTTCTTAGCTGTTTCTTTACAATTTTTTTTTGTATTGCATTACACTTTGTAATAAAATCAACACATAACTTCCTGTTAGCATTATAATATTGTAGATCAGTTACCGCCTCTTGAAAGTGAGGGTCAGTTTCTTGCTGCAATTAAAAACTGTGCACGAGGAGGTGAATCTTTAGAACGTGAAAATGGTAAGTTTTTATTAGTGGTTTTTTTTAATCGATCTTTTGCATTTGACTTTAATGATCACATGTAGCAAAAATAGGTTATTTACAAACTATTTCAATGACTATTGCAGTTCAAAAAGACAAATATATTGCTGTAAAGTTCTAAAGATTTTAGGCAGAGTGGTATTGGAAGGAAAGCCATTGGTACTCTCGCCTATTACTTTGCAAGTATGTTATTAACTCACACATTCATTGAATAACAAAGAAGTTGTCTACGGCAACTTTTAATTTGTATATGTTTGAAATGATGATAACTGATTGTCCGTTTAAATCGAAATCATATATAAATATTTGTAGATTGAACCGATCATATCATCATCTCCCGGAATTAAGGAACGATTCAAAGAAAAAAATATCAAGCATCAAAGAACTGCAGCTGAAATTGATGCGTTTTTTACTCGTTTAAGTACTCCAAAATATATTAAAGGTTTTTTATTTAAGCAGTCTTTTTGAGTTTCATTTAAATGTCTCTTTACTGCTTCCTTATTTCATAGTTAACAACTTGAATTTTTTAGGAGCTATCGTAAATAAGAATTCAGTTTGCAGTCATTTACGAAAAACGAAGTAAGCGATCTCTACAGTTTGTGCATATATTTTGAGTTCAGAGTAGTTGTGGAAATATAAAAGCTTAAATTTAAATCTTATCATATTCGTTTTTAAAGTTTAAATTTCTCATCAGTCATTGAAACAAAATAAATATCGCTTCTTATTTCCAAATACTCATATTTGATACAAATAAAGTGATACATACTTTCTTTATGAAATTCAATTCTGTAATCAAGATGCGAGGCAACTAAAAAACATCAAGCGAATGTTGTGCATACACGTGGCAGTTGTTTCGCAGAATCTAAGAATCCTAACAAAGCTGTTGGAAAATAATTACATCTTTACCTTTTTTACGAAATCCCGATTGTTTGAAATATATAAATATGAAGCAGACTGTGGTAGAATGATACAGATGTTTTATTGTGTTTTATTTACAGTAATTACGTATATGTCAGTCTAATATTAATAGTTGAAGATGGAACAATTTGGATATCTTATCTAAAATTTAAAGCAGTTAGTTTTCATTACTTTTTTACAATCTTCTATCATTTCTTGGAAAAAAAGTGGGTCACTGTAAACTTACTGACTAGCTGCATTTTTTTGTTGAGTTGGTTTTCTCTTTGGAGCAAAAGTTGCTTCTGGATCTTGTATATTTAGTTTACATTTAGTCAAATTACAAAATGCATACAGTAGTTGTGTTATATGTTTGTTGGATTCATAACTTTAACTGTCACATGAATTCCTGTTCCATCATTTAATTTCGTGAACTGGTTTCTAGTTCAAATCATATTGATCTGTTGTGTTTGCTAACTTTTCTTGTGTCATCGATAGTTTGGTTAACATAGATTGTCTTTTATGTTTAAAGAACTATTGCGAAGTACTTCCTGTTTTATTGTTTTAGTTATTGTTTAAAAATTATTACAGTTTATTCTGCGAAATGTATCTGCGTTATAAAGAGTCTTGATTCACGTCCCAAGTTATGGTACGGCTGAATTGCTGATTGCATCGTTTTCGGTGTTCAGTTTTCATTGCTAGCCAAGTTGCGTGTGTTATTTGTGATGAGTCAATAAAGTAGTTTCAGCAGTTGTGTATTTCATTGGAATTTTGTTCAGGGTGGTTTCCTATTTATCTGTCTAATTAGGTAGGTAATTTGTGACAAGAGCATTAGATTGATGAGATTTATCGGTGACGTCGTCATTTAAATAGAAGATGAGTAATTTTTACACTTAGCTTTATCATTCTCAAGATTACCATATTCTAGATATGGATCACATTGGTCGTACCAAGGTTGGAAATGTGGTCTGCAAATAACAGCTTTGGTCATAAGTGAATGAAGGAGAAACTGAGAAGGAAGCAATGTCTGACTGGCTAGCATAAGTAGTTGTGAAAAATGTTGACGACATTCGTCCCATGAGAAACCGTGAAATGCGTAACAAACCTTGTAGTCATTCTGATTTGCCCTTCAGAATTTGATCCTCATGTGAGATTCTTTACATAGCATTGTTTCTTAATTGTTTATATACTTGAATTGCTACTTCATAAGAGAATGACATGAGTAGTTAACTTCGGTATTTGTGTGATGAATCAAGATACTTGCTAACTGATTTCACCACATTTCTGTTGCAGGGACGACTGTTTTTTAAGCAAAAAATGGAACTGTCATTTTTTGCTGATATTATTCATGTAAGTTTTTTTCTTTCTAATCTTTTTTTAAGGATTGGACTTAAGCATAGTTATTGACTAGTAGAATCATTGTTAACGACTTAATAAGTCTGAATCGGTGGGTGCTGCAGGCAGTTATCTTCATCCTCTTTTCTAGCCTTCTCTGCCGTACAATGTAATTGCTAAATCTTATGATCAAGAGCATTGATCCGCAGTTAGTTGCACAATGAGGCTGCAAGATGAGTAGACTTTAATGCAGTTCAGTATTTCTTTGTAAATTAAAGAAGATGGGTTTGAATGTGGAGTTTAATTAATTGCTTACTGGTTTTACTGTACTTTTCTTTCTGAAATATTTAGTGACTTTGATAGGTCTTGGGTATCAAAGATATTCTAGATATCGGCTGGTGATACCATTTTTTAGTAAAAAACACAAATATGGAAAAAAAATTCTTAGTGTTCTAATAAAATCCTACAAACTGGTAATTACATAATTGAAAAATTATACGTAAACAGGACATAAACTTATTCTGATAAATATAGTAATCACAGCTATCGTTTAATTTTAGATGTGTTTAAGTTTTCAGGAGACAGTGATGGGTCAAACGTTGAGTGAGCCGGTTACCACGAAGGAAACCGCTTCTTGTGGAAATTCTATGTATAAAATAGGTAGCTCCTGTATGCAGGGTTGGCGTATCAGTAAGCTTTTTTTTTGTTCTAATATTTGAGTACTTTATCAAATCTACTTCAAAAATTTACAAAAATCACTTCTTTTTAATGACTACTTACGTAATTATTTGAGCTGTTACCATTGCAGACATGGAAGATTCACATACGCATCTCTTAGCTATCCCTGATGATAATCAAGCAGCTTTTTTTGCTGTTTACGATGGCCATGGTGGAGCAAAAGTATCGCAGTATGCTAGCATTCATCTGCACAAATTCATCACCAGTAATTCATATTATGGTTAGTTTTTTAATACGTAAACAGATTTGTTAATACTCTCAATTGATTCATACGATATTTGCGGTTGGTTTTTTCAATTATTTTGATCTAAAATAATACCAGATAGTAAAACATTGGTGATGTTTTATTTTTTCTAATAGATTTTTCATAATCTATTAGAAAAACTATCAATCACTTGGTAGAGTGATTTTTTTTTTTGGAATATTCTGTTTTTTTCGAATGTGTGTGTGTGTTTTTTTTTTGAATTTGACAGTTTTATAGCCGAGGGTAATATAGAAGACGCAATAAAGCAAGGTTTTTTGGCATTAGATGAAAAAATGCGAAATGATGATGAAACACGGGATGATATGTCAGGCACCACTGCAGTGGTGGTTCTCATAAGAGACAGAAAGATTTACTGCGGTTTGTTTATAAAAAACATTACTTTTTTGTATTGTTGTCACCAAAAGCATCTTTCATTTTGATGTATGTTCGAAGATATTGGCTTAACATTAAGCTAATTAACACTTAGTCTATTTATGATTGGAATTCAGGTAATGTTGGCGATTCAAGAGCAGTAGCATGCATTGCTGGTATTGCACGTCCACTGAGCTTCGACCATAAGCCAGCAAATGAGCTAGAAGCAAGGCGAATAGTTGCAGCTGGTGGTTGGGTTGAATTCAATCGAGTAAATGGCAATTTAGCATTATCTCGTGCTTTGGGTGATTTCGGTTTTAAAAAAAATGAGCAAATGCCTCCGGAAGGACAAATTGTAACCGGTGTTCTTTTTGAAGCTCATTATTTACAGTTTTTAGATCTGTTTTTATAAGGATGTCTTCTAAATATATTTTATTGCTAAGTAGACAGACATTTTTCTTTCAGTCATTATTTCTTAAAGGAGTTCTTTCTCATAATATTGTTTACAGCTTGCCCCGATGTAGTCGTCTGTGATCTAACTTACGACCATGAGTTTATCATACTGGCCTGTGACGGTATATGGGATGTTATGTCGAATCAAGAAGTTATTGAATTTTGCAGGAGTAGGTTGGCCACTGGTCATGAACCTGAAGCGGTAAGTTTATATGCTTCTAATATGACTAAGAATCTGTTGATTATAACTCTTTTTGAGCGCTGTGTTTAAAATCGTCAGGGTCATGTTACACATGTAGTTAGATTGGCCTAGATGATTATGCTTCAATGAATTTTTGTTGATAGAAAAGATTCATAAAGACTTAATCACATTCAAAATATTTATTACTATTAAATTCATCTTCATTTATTTCA